AGATGCTCTGGCCACTCTTTAGTGAGGAAATCTTTTAAGGGTGAATAGGCCGTAGAAAACCGTCGACTATACTCTCGGTCAATTTTCCAGAAGTGACTGCGTATCCAAACAGTAAGCAGCTGGACACACCCGGTGAAGCGGCTACTCTCAGCTCTTCTGCAACTGCTAAGTGCTCTGAATGTTTCAGCCAAAACCGCAGGAACAGGGTTTACCTTCCTTTCCAAACGCTCGAATAAATCGACCACTGCGGCTTCCACGTGATAAAGAACTTTCGGGAAAATCATCAAACCATAAATTCCCAAGGCGAACATCTCCATGCTCTTCTCGATATCGCTATGCTTGACGATAAGCTCCTTGAGGCATGACCAAGGGAAGCAATCGGACTCTCCCTTCTTTTGGATTCGATCAGCAACCCACTTCTCTCCCATCCCAGTAATCCTTGCGAGCTTGCTCTTAAAGGATTGGGTCCTTGAGGCTTTTGAGTAGATACGGTCCAAGTGTATCGTCTCGAAATGAAACAAGGAGGTGTATTCTTCTAACGTGGGAGTCATGTCTTCCTTGTTGAAAGTGAAGCAGCTATATGCGGGATTCCAAAACTGGATGAGAGCTTTGATTAGGGGTTCGTTTACTTTCACATACAACAGAAGGGCGATGTCACCATACTTTTGCCAGAAAGAGTATTTCACCTCAGAATTCCAACTTTCCCAAATTTCGCGTAACTCTTGCAAATCGTTTTGCTTTAGACTGACCGGAGCAACCTCTGGTAGTACTGATATGTAATCTTCAGTCAAACTGTCGCCTTTCTTCCTCTGAGTTTCCTCGGACCACGACCTCACTTCTGCGTTATCCACTTCCTTGTTATGAAAGCTCTTGTCCATTTTATGACCGCCTTCTACTTTTATGACCACCTTGTGAATCAACACCTTTCTTCATGAATGATGATGTAATGCAGCGGTAATAAATAAAACACAAACAAAAATAAAACTGTGTTAGTATACAATGAATAGTCAAAGAATAAACAAACAACATGAAGATAGAAAATATATACATCCTAAACCTAATTCACATGGTATCTACCCAACATGGCGTCTACCGAATCATGCTTTAGTAGATCCTACCCGACATGATATTTACCCACATGTTTTGTTACTCATAAAAAAAATCCTAACCGCATGGTATCTAATTCACATGCATGTTTGAAAAATAAACCTAACCACATGATCTCTAGTTCGCATACTTTTTGCAAAAAATAAATTCGAGGGAAAAGTTAGAATGAGTTTCCCCTTTGTGTCTGTGGACAGAGATTCAACCTAAGATAGGCAGAGTTTCAGTATTTCTAAAAGGGTCCTCGAATTGTCTTTTGCTGGTGCCCCCTTGGGCTTGCCAGACCCTCGATCCTCGCCCATTATAGGCTTAAAACGGATCAAGTTCAATTTCGAGAGGATACATTTCCCTATGTCCATGCGAGAAAACTCAATGTTTCACTCGTAAACATAAGGCATGTACCCCAGAGGTTACTAGCTAAAGCCCATGCGGAGAAAAATAATTTTTCTCACGTAAGCGTAGCTTTCACCCCTACCTAACGGGACAGAGCACAGTAAGAAGGCTCTAAATATCGAAATGGTTGTAACGACAGTGAGGGGAAACCCATAATCCTTTGCCTCGATCCAAGAAAAACAATAGACTAAAACGAAGGTCAAAAAAACTGAAACATGTAGAGCGCACATTAGTACAACTATTTATTCATTAACCAAATTACAAATTAAGATGTAAATAAAACAATTCAAACAAACAAGGGATCAAAGACCAAATTAAAGCGAACTTATAAATTTCGTTTGCAAAGACTATTAATTAATCGACGATCGGCCTGACTCTCTAAAAAGTCCCCAGCAGAGTCGCCAAGCTGTCGAAACGATTTTTAAACGGCGTGGAAAAGCGCGTTATTTTTAATTATTTTCTTTACGATTGATTTTAATTAAAAATAATACGATTTTAGAAAACCTCTCGTTTCGAAAAATTGGAAATTCCTTTACGATGAAAAAATAAGGTTCGAGGAGTCGCCACCAATCTTTGATTAGGGTGTGATTGGACACCCAAAACGTTGTCATTTTAAATAAAAAAATATTTTTAATTAAAACGACGAATTTGCGGTCTGCGTTATCAAAATCTGAGTTCGGGAGTCGGTTACGCGTGGGGAAGGATTAGCACCCCCACAGCGCCCTAAATCGGTACCTAGTCGATTAATTAATGTCTTTGCAGCGAATTTTACAAGTTCAAATTTAATTTAATTTTTGATCCTTAAAACAACAAAAGTGCAAATTTTATGGTATGCAAAAGCAACGAAATAAGTTAAGTTAAAATTACCAAGTCGTTAGAAAGATAACGAATATTCGATTATTTATAAATACCGAGACCAGATCTTTAGTTCAGTTCTAACGACCTTTTCTCGATACATTTAAATAGTCGAACATTTCATTTTCTTTCATTCCCAAATTTTAAAGTGAAATATCAAATTTTTAGTGACAATGATGGGATACACTTGTAATTTAAAATCGTCAAGAACAACTTTTTCTGTAAGTTAAGAAAAGCCATTCTGACAGTTTTAAATTAAAAGGGTATTACCCTTAATCCGATTATGTGATTAGTTCAAGTTATGCACGTAAGACTATCATGCAAATTATGCTGATTGAATGTCATGCAAAGAGTAATAAATATTATGATTAAAATATCATGCAATGTGAAATACACAAGAAAAAAAAATATATACATATATTTTAATTTCAAAAAAAAAATAATAATAATAATAATAATAATAATAATAAACCACACATATTAACATATAGTGTACAAACATGACTTAAATATAATAATAAAAACATGACATGCGAAACTATAAAATTAAAATATATATAGATATATACATATTTAAAAAGTGACTAAATATGAATAAAATCAAAACTAAACATACTAATCAAAAGTTAAACAAGGGTTAAACTATAAAGAAACTAAACAATAGGCTCATTTCATAAAACTTTCATTTCCATGTACTGCAAGCATAATATATACCAAAGTACTTCATAGGACCAAAATGAAAGTTTTTCAAAATTACATATCCAAAGTATAAACAACATCAAAATAGCCCTAAACTGATTCTGGACCAAGATACAACATGCGGCAAATTAGGAGGTAAATTTAAGATACCAAAGAAGCCCGATTCAGGGACAAAAATGTAACAGGTTGAAACTGAAATGGCCTACACGCAGTTACCCCCCAAAGCAAAACACAGAATACTTCCCCGGAGGTCAATACGACGCCGTTTTGGAACTAAACGGGACGACGCCGTTTTGGAACTAAACGGGACGACGCCGTTTTGGCGTACGAGACATCAGGGTATACCCCTAACCCTAGTCTCATTTCTTCTCAACCTAAACAGATGAAAACCCCCCCCCCAGCCGTTCTCTCTATCCCTCTCGCCTCTCAACCCCAGCTTGACCAGACGACTCCCCTGGCCACCACGGCCACCGCCGCCTTAAACAAATCTCCTAGATTTCCTCTCAAACGAAACCAAACGAAACCCTAGCCTCCACAACCACCATGGTCTCTCGCTTCTCTCTGCTTTCCTTGGTCGAAACCCTCAGCAAACCCAACCGTGGCAGCCGCCGTGGCTGCCACCACTAAACTATCCTGACGAGAACCGCTCAGGTAAACCCTTTTCTCACTCTTCTAACCTCTTAAACCCTAAACCCGATCCTCACCGAGACCTCACAAAACCCCAACAAAGACCCCGATGAGAGCCTCCTCCCCTTTCTAGCCTTAAACCTTCACTCTTACGAAACCCATAACCCAAATATCACAACCACAAAGCCCATTGCCAACCACCGTGGCCAACAGACTCCGTTAAGGAGTTAAAACTGTACCCCAAACCCCGAACATGACCAGACTTACCCAGAACTAGCCCCCATAGACCCCGATGAAACCAAACACTGAAACAAAAGCATAATCGATAGCTTACCCTTGGTGACCCAACGGGGTTCGACTTTCAAATGGTGGTGATGGTTACTCTTTCACTCAAGGAGGTGAGGGTTTCGTTTTTCCTTTTGTTGTTTTTGCTCTCCGATTGCTGATCGTTTTTTTGGTTCGAGTCTTTTTGGTTGTTTTCTCCTTCTTCTTTTTTTGTGTGTTTTTTTCTTTCTGTTTTCTCTCCTCTCGCTGATGATCCTTGATGGTTTTTTTTTTCCTTTTTTTTTCCCCCTTGGTCACTCTCTATATCTGTTTTTTTGTTGTTGGTTTTCTTTCCTCGATTTCTCCGTGCCTCTCGTTCTGCTTCTTGTTTCGTGTGTTTGCAGGGCACTGGTGAGAGCAGATCACGGGCGGCAGCTGTGGGGAGCCGAGCTATTGTCCGGTTGGCGTGCGTGGTCTGGCAGCAGAGTTGGCTTCACGTGAGACTGCAGCTGGCTCGGGATGCTTGGGGACGTTGTGAGCCGTTGGATCCTGATGCCAGATCCAACGGTGGTAGCTTGACGGCGCTGGAACCCTGACCAGAAACCCTAGTGGTCTTTGATCTGGACCGTTGGATGAGAAGCAGATCCAACGGTCCAGGACAAGCGGCGGCTGGATCCATAAGTTGGAAACCCTAATGGTTTTAGGGTTCTTCAAACAGGCCTGATTATTTTGATTTTTGGGCCACTTCGGTCCAGCTGGTTGTAATTTGGTATAGGCCCTGTAATAAAACATTTAATTAGTATACTCATATGTATTTTAATTGCTTAACATTCATTATAATTGCTTATTTGCTCATATATCATATATAAATATAACCAAACATTAATCATATAAACGATAATTAATCCAATTCAACTTCAGAAAAGATCCCGGACAAATCGAGCATCTACAAGGGGAAGCAAGAAGAAGAAAAGAAAAAGGATGTTGGCATCGCTCTTAAGTCCACCAATAAAGATAACTAGGATTCAAGTGAAGAGGTGGATGAAGAAGATGAAGAGATGGCCAAGTTCTTCAAAAGTTTCACTAAATTCATGTCTTCCAAAGGAAAAGAAGGAAAGTATGAATCAAGTAAGAAGAAAGATCCCCCGGTGTGTTATGAATACCAAAGAACGAGACATGTCAAATATGAATGTCATTTTCTAAAGAAGACGGGATCAAGCAAGAAGAATACTTTTGTTGCTACTTGGAGTGATGAGGACATCACTGATGATGAAGAATTACGGTAACTTATTGTTTTGAATATATTGCCCTCACTTCTTGAAACTCATAAATTACTTTACGTAACATCTCTTAGGATTTCAAGATTAGATAGGTGAGACAGATTTGCGTAATTCTAAAACCAGCTTCACTGTTCTAAGGAAGTGCATCAATTAAATATAACAAACAGAGCATAGGAATGAAATTTTTTTTTCATTTTTCCCATGAAGTTCATCTATCTTGAAATTCAGTTTTACATGCTGCACGGTGAAGTTCATCTATCTTCCATTTTAGCTGCAAACTTCATCTACCAGCTTTATTATGGGGTAATGACTTCGGTTAGAATATATGTATAATGGGATGAAAGTTTTGGTATTTTATACGAGGATGAATAGATCCAGTATAAGCTAGTTCATATTTCCCAAGGTGGATATACCATATCCTATATTTCATTTAACAACACGTGACTCTTTTGCAAATATGAGTTCGGTTGATATTTCAAGTTCTTTCCTAATTGGTACGATGGTCTTCTTACCGGTTACTTAATGACATTGCATGATAACATGCTTTGGATGACATAGGTGCTTTTGGGTTTGCTCAATGTATGGAATGTTTCATTTCTTGGATATCTTGCAAGAGAGTATTTTTGCTTCTAATGTTGAACTTACCATTTCATGGTCCTCCTCCTCCTCCTCCTCCCTTTTCCATGCTTATGACCTATCATTAACACTTTTTTGTGTATATAGGCTATTTTACCTTACTCTCAGGACCTGGAGAAATTCACTCCACGTATTCAACAGGCATGTTTGTCGAAACTCCTTTGCCGGGCTGCTCATTATGTTTTGGGTGTGCGTGTTTTGGGTTTGGGGGTGAGCTTGTATTTTCAGATCTTATTCATTGCTAAATATACTTCAATTCAGGTCAGCATGGAGAGTAATGGCAAAGGTGTGTCAATTGATGGTGTCCCACTTCCTTATGAGGCCGATGAAATTGATTTTGGTGAACCTGGAACAAATGGCCAGCACAACTTTTATCAACTAATCCACCAGATGAATTTTATGTTGTGTTTTGCAGAAAGAAAAATACTAGGTGATTCTTGCCTTCTATAACATCTCATACCACCTTAAATATTAGAGGTGCTATATAGTTATGCATTCCCAAAGCTTAATCCTGAGAGAGCTAAATCTGGCCATAGGCAGACGTAAATTTGGGAGTTTGTGCATAAAATGAAGAGACTGGAAAGCTTTATAGGCCATTTGTGAAGTATGGCACATTATCTTAATAAACTACCATCGAATAACAATTGACGTACTAAAGTGTGCTTGGAGAATTTTAGCCTGTTCAATAAAAGATCCTTTTCAGTGTTATTCACCGAAATAGAGGCTTGATTGAAGGACTTTGAGATTTCACCGGAGTCTTAATTTCGCATATTCATCTTAGCTTCGATGGATGGACTTTTTCTGTTACTGCATAACCTTGTTGGCTTATCATCCGTGTATATAGATTCAATTTCGATAATTGTTAAACCATTTTGACACCTCAGGGTCGTGTAATTCCCAGTGATTTCATTGGTATTGTGAAGAGCCGGCAACCTGTGTACCTTAAAGGTATAATTTTATTTATTTCTATGTTGGTTTCTAAGTCGAAGATCATATATTGTTGTTTCTATAGTGTTTTTGAACATGTCATTTAAAATATTATTCTTATTGGCAGGTGAAGTGGTCAGCAACCATGATGAGCTTATGTCCAACTTTTTCGCACAGCTAGATGCCCTGGCATATGGGAAGGTAGTATTTTGCTTTCTTAGGTATCAATTATTTGTCATTATTGTAACAACCAATGCCATTTAATTTCAAGCACTAGAGCGTTTATATTAAAATTTCCTGAATCTTTGCCTAAAATCTGTATAGTTGCCGAAAAAAATGATTTACTTCAGACAGTAGAGCTGTTGCTGAAGGAGAACAATTCGCAACATCTTATCCCTCATAAGGTGATTTACTTTAAGCCTTTCAACAGACTTTAATTCATAATGCAATCATTTTTTAAACTTGTTCTTGTATATTCCAGACATTCTCCGGGAATCGACCTTCTCTCAGTCTTGCTTCCATCTCTTAATGCTTACAATATTGGGCAGGTAGCTGGTTTCGTATTCTTAAACTTTAATGAAGCATTTTATTTACCTGTTATGGTTGTTGAATTCTTAAACTTTAATCACTGTATGGACTATGGACATCTTAGATCTGATATAGTAAAAAAGTAACACTGTTAAATTTTAATGGCAATCAATTTTTTACTTGATAGATCCAAACTATCCATGTAACATGTGCAGTTGTTTAAAATTGATCCAAAAATTTTAAACATGCTTCACATTAGACCTAAATTGACACTTAGTGCTCAAATAGTTTGCTAAACTAACATAAAGACGTGTTTGAAATGATACTGATAATTTGGGTTCTAATGCATAGTTTGGAGACAGCCTGGTGCAATCAACTCTGATAGTACCTATGGTGTTTCATCAATTACTGCGTTGCCGCAAAAAACTACCAAAATTGTTTGACAGGCAAGTTCGGATATCCCAGCTGAGCCGACAACTCTTCTACCTCGGATATAAACTATCCCGATGCTGTTGGCTTTATTGCTTCATCATCCATTGCTTCAAACTTTCCCCATGTTGGTTTGTGCAGTGATCCATCTAACCCTTGGGGTTTACATTAAGACCTTGGAATGCATTTCCTTGATCTATTTCAGCAACTTGAATGAAATAAAAGGTGGTCTGAAAACACTACAAATTGTCGAGGTTTTATGTTGGTGTTTTTTTTTTTTAATAATATTAAGAATTCGTCCAACAGTGACTATAGTTGTACAGCCAATTACCCTCTACCCGTTAAACTAAGCCGTAATATATCTTACCATGATTTATTTAGGTTAAATTCTGTTTAAAATGCATGTACTCTTTGTAGGATTACAATTCAATCCTCTTGTTTTTTATTTATTGTTTCATTTGAGAGCTTGAATTTTAAAATTTAAATTTAGATTCCATACACTATGTAAATTGATAAAAATAAATGCATATGGTAAATAGTTGAAAAGTATAAAAATTTGGATTTATCAAATCCTAAATTATATTACGAAATTTAAGGTCATTAGTAAATAGACATCTACAAATTTATAGATTTGAGAAACATTCATAAATGTTTCATTTCCAAGTATTTTGTCACTTAATTTACGCTTAAAAAATCCAAATTCAATTTTAGAATTTGTGAAAATTTTAATTCTTTTTTTCTTTGAAATTACTTAAATGGAGTATTTGAGAAGATTTTAACAAAATTTATTTAAATTATCAATTAAATATTATTTGATGATGATATATAAAAACATGTTAGATAAAAGAATTAATTTCAATTTTATTTGTTATAATTTTTTAACGATATTAGTATAAATAGCTTAATTTATCGATAGTAAAAGTTGAAAGATGAAATTTAATTAAATATATTAGATACAATTTTTTTTTTGGTTTAATAGTATGTCTTTATTTAAACTATGGAGGTACATATTTTTTAAAACTTAACCGATATTTATTTTATTTATTATAACGAGAAGATTATGTTTCAATGATTTTGGTGATTTTATGTGACATTTGGATTCTTTATATCGAACTAGATCAAATTTAAGATGTCACATTAAGACTTCAAAACTCTCATTCTATAGAGTTTTGGGGTTATGAAACTTAGAGGTTCGGTTTCGATACTAAAAAATCAATAGATTTAAGGTGTCAAAATTGGGCATTGGGTTTCAATACTCAAATGATGAGTTTCGCAAACAAAATCTATTTGTTAAAAAAATATAATTCGGATATTTTTAATGTTTTGATTTATAATTATACCCTATGTTTGATATGTTTGACATCTTATTGCTTAATTTAAAGTTTGGTGATTGTTTAAATGCATAATTGTTTGATTTAGTTCTAGTTAGAGCCTGACTAAATTTCGAACAGTCAATGTGATATATCCGATATGTTCTAAGCCAGACTAGAGGTGTTACAAATTCACATCTTGAAAACTAATGTAAGCCTAGAAACCTCGGTTGAACTGGCCAATTTGTTGGTCCTAAAGTCCTTACCGTGGGACTGGTCGACCACATATAAGACTTAAAGATGTTTGCATGTTTTCTATCATGCCATTAGGCGAGTCCTAGCCTAAATGTTGGTTTTTGTGTAACACATTATAAGTTTTTAAGTCATGGGTTGTAACACATTACAATTCGCAATTCATCATATTTTGTGTGAGCATATCTTTTTCATTTATCAGAATTATCTTATGACTACCTCATATGTCTAGGTAGATCCTACCAGAGATCGAGCTCGAAGTCTAACATATCAAATTTATTTCTTGAGCCAACAATAAGTGTTGGGCCCCTTATTTACCACCTATGTACTTTAGTTTTTTCGACAAAAACGAATTGATATAACAATTTCAATAAGTTAAATGAAGGTTTTGGTAGCGGAGAAGCTTGAAATGCAACAATGATAAAGTTAAAAATGTTCTTTTGGTAAACTGATGGCGATTCTGGTCGAAAAAGGTGATTGAAGAGGCTATGACAGTGGAATCAATGATTGTGGTGGTGTCGAATACTTATGAATTCAGTTAAGAGATCTTAAAAAGTTCAAGAGATAAATTAGAAATTAACCTTTTATTGGTGTGTCATGTCATCAATATACTGAGAATTAGAGATTTAGTGATCAAATTATAACAAATTGATAAAAATAAGTTATCAAAATATAATAATTAAGCATTTAGAGATAAAAAGAAAAAGAAAACTAAACATAAGTGACTCCTTTCATCTTTTGTAAAACCTTGCTCTTACGATTTCCCGTTCTGCTAATTTTTTGTGTTAATCGAAAGCATTTATGTATTCGAAAAAAACCCATCCAAGAATACATCATTCGTTAAAAACCTCCTTACTCTTATATGAAGGAAAAGAGTATATATATCCCGGACAAGCCATACAAACAACCACCTTAAAAATCAACTCCATAACCAAAAAACGATAAAACAAAACTGAAGATAGCTACCAACATCAGCTGCCCTGACCAAAGACACAACCCCTCCACAAAAAACAAAAGAAATGCTTCATGAATAGGTTTTACTTAGAAATTCATTTTGTAACACCCCGTTTTTATCCCAAATTAAAAAAACCTAGAAATTGGGGAATTTTGACCTAAATTCCTAATAAATGGATAGTGACCTAATTGAAAAGAATGATAAAATTGTTAGCTTTTTCGTAAACCCTTAGAAGTTCAGGTTCAGACTTGGCAACTAGACCAAAATTTATTTTATTCAAACTCCAACTCTTCTTCCTTTTCTCTCCCGTGCAACCCCATTTCCTGCCGTTGTTTCTTTATTTCTCAAAACCCTAGCGTCGCCGCCCCTTAATTTCAGCTCCGTCGCGCCGTCGTTCTTCTTAGAAGTGAGTTGGTGGCCGCTGCTTGGTTGTCTCGGCGTAACCTCCATCCTCCGTCTTCGGCGTCGGGTTTGGGTTTGTGACAGACCCGCTAGCCCAGCTCGTAATCTCCTGCCGCCGCCTGGTTTGGCTGTTGGTGGCCGCTGCGAGTGCGGAACCTCGCCGGAAAAGGCCTTCACGGCCTGGTTCCATGGCTGGTCCGGTCTCGTTTGGCCGTGGAAGCTTCTGCCGGCCATGGATTAGTTGTTGCCGGTTCTGTCTTTTCCTTTGACACTGTGGGCAGCCGTTTAAGGTTACGGCAAGGCCGGCCGAGACATTTCCGACCGATGGAGACTGTTGCCGGTGAAGTTCGTCGCCGGCAGTCCCATTTTTCTGATCCGGCAAATCATTATATTCGAACCAAACCCCGCTGCCAGTTTTCGATTCAAACCGAATATTAAATTCTTAATGTCGTTAACGTCGTGTTATTGTAAATATTCGGGAAATTGATGATTTGAGATTTTAATCGAAAATCGTAATTTTACGGGAGAAATTGAACTGGACCAACTCGTATTATTCGTTTTGAGTGCGAGTAATAGTTGTTAACTTTTAGTCGTTTAGATTTGTCGGATTATTTATAATATTCATTTATTAAATTAATTATAGGAATTAGTTTGAGTCGAATCATTGCTCGAGTTAATTGTGATAGACGCTACGACCGACGTTAATAATTTAGTTGAAGTGTGTCTCTGTTCAGTACTAAATTTTCTGTGTTAGTTTTGTTTGTTTGACTTATTTATTGTTAATATGAGAGTATAACTGAATTGTGATTATTAACTATTTAGTATTTATTTGGAAAAAAAAAAGTAATGGGAAAAATGTTGATATGTAGATTCAATTATGAAATGTATTAAGATTATTTGTATATGTAGTCATTACATTCGGATAATGTTAGAATTCGAATTTGTGTTATTTGGATATATATCATTCGGATATGTGTTATTTTAATTGGATCAAACGTAGAATATTGTTATTCCTAGGCTATAAATTATTGTTGTATAGTCATTATTTATTAATTAAAAGCAATTTTAACTAATAATATTGAATGCAGTAGAAAAAAATACCTTTTTAAATTCTTAAAAATTTAAAAATAATCTATATCAGCATTAATTAAAAGTAATCTCAACAATAAATTTTAATTTAAAATCTCATTTTCCTGGGCTAAACGTTTGTTCTTTATCAATTTTACCTTCCTCTTTCAAAGAAACCCTAAGGCGGCATTTGGTTCGTTAGAATATTTATGAGGGAATTGGAATCTATGAAGGAATTGGAATCCAATTCTATATTCTATTTGGTTGGCAGGAAATGGAATTAGAATCCAATTCCATATTTTGTTTGGTTCGTAGATATGTCAGATGAATTTAATTTCAGTAATGTAAAATGAAAGAATTACCCTTCTTGTTTTTTTGCTTTATTTTAGTTTATTTTACAACTTACATGTAGTAATATATTATAAAAAATTAAAAAATAATAAATTTTCATTTTATTAATTAATTATTCATTTCAATAAATTATAAAAATCATACTAATAAACATTATAAGTTAAAATCATCGTAATCAAAATATGTTAATAAGTTACCAAAAGATATAGCAATATTTCGATACATTCCAATCGAAGTATGTTAATTAGTTACAAACAAATATACCAAAAACTATTTTTATTCAATATATGAATTAGAAACTCGACCCGACACAACTCAAAATAATAAAAAAATATTTTTATTCAATAAAAACATTGACTTAATTGAAAAAAAAAATTATATATAGAGGGGTATTATTGTAATTATTCATAAATATATAAGGTAAAATTATATATTTTTTTCGGGTCGGTCCGGTTTTTTTCACCCTAAACCCGAACCCGACCTGACCTGAACCGAATATCACACTTAAAAAAGTCCGACCCGACTCGACCCGAATATCACACTTAAAAAACCCGACCCGAACAAAATAAAGTTTCATCCAACCCGACCCAAAAATATGAATTAGAAATCCGACCCGACCCGAAATAATAAAAAAAAAATTTTATTTAATAAAAACAGTGACTTAATCCGACTCGACCCGAATTATATATATTTTCGGGTCGGTCCGGTTTTTTTCACCCTAAACTCGAACCCGACCCGAATATCACACTTAAAAAAACCCGATCCGACCCGACCAAAATAAAGTTTCACCCGACCCGACCTGACCCGAATATATGAATTAGAAATCCAACCTAACCCTAAATAATAAAAAAATATTTTTATTCAATATATGAATAAGTTATCAAATGATTAATGAGGATGGCATGGTCAAATTTCAATACCCTCCAACAAGGTAATTGAATTCTATCAATTTTTTAATGAAATTCACTTTCCCTCATTTGATGGAATTGAATTCCATAAAAGATTTTAATTCCCTTAAAAAACTTAAATAAAAAATAAGAAAATAGTGAAATTAGATTCCAATTCCCATTTATTCTAAGTATTCATCCAACCAAACGCCACTTAAAAAAGATTTCCGTTAACCTACCCACAACTTGGCCGCCATCAGTTCCGGCGCTTTCTAAAATTTAATTATTAAGGACATATAAATTAGCAATTATTTAAAGAGTAGTAATCAGATTTTCTAGCTAGTCCTAACTTGAATAAGCTATTTGATTTGTCGCCCAGGTTTTGGGATCTACTGTCGAGATGCCTTCAAAGTTCAAGAAGCAATCAAAGACGCCCTCTAAACACTCAAATTCTGACCCGTCTTTTCCACAGACACCGTCACTTACTTTTGTAGATGCACAAGTTGATGAAGAAGATCTTAGGGGCTCTCTTGATGAAGTTTCGAGGCAATATCCTTCTCTTATTGGAAAATCGGCTTTCATTGGCAGAGTTAATCATGTTGACTCTGAAACTAGAAGCTGTAAAATCTGGCTCTCAGAATCTTCTATGGTTGCTTCTTATCTCAGCCCTGGTTCATTAGTATCGGTAATTCACTTTGACCCTTGTAATTTTCTCGGATTGCATCCCCACCCCCATATTCCACCGTCGTCCTTCTATTGAATTTTTATCTAATCCATTGCCAGGTCTCACTTGCTGTTTTAAAAAATAAACATTCAAATTGTTTTCCTCTAAGTTCAGTAACAGATGAATATGCTCTACCTTTTGGTGTTGGTTCAGCCGATGAAACTGTAAAAGAAGTTGGAAACTACTTTGCACTTGCTACAGTTTTTCCCTCTTGTAAGGTTAGAATGACAATCATATGGTAGTCTGACTCTCTTTATATTATATATTCTCCTTTTGCGTATGAATTATTTTCTTCTAAAAAATTAGGTAGACAAACTGCGTTATGAAGTTAAAGAAAGTGGATGGTTCCTCAATTGTTGTAGATGCTTTAAAATTAAATAAAAAATGGATACTTGATATTTCTACAAGGATTCAGTAACTACTCATGGAGATTATGTAGTAGCTTATTTTGCAGAGGGTTTTTTAAGGCGCTGTATTTTGTTAAGGTGAATTGGTGGAATGTCGTATATATTTAACCTGATAAATCTTGGTTTTATATATCATACATTAATCTGTATATTATGGACTTGATGCTGTGTCTTAAATTTCACATTCTTATTTATCAAAAGAAAAAAGACATTTTACCTTCTAAATTTAGGAGATTCCAGTGGTGATACCGTGGAGATTGGATTCTATGCCTTAATTGTATTCTTCCTTTCTTTCTAGGTTTTGAAGAATGGAGTGAGATTGTCTTCAAGCCTTTCATATGCACTGGGTTCTCCCGCTTCTGGCAGCATTGTGTTTGTTTACACAATACAAAGTGAATTTCAAACTGGTCTTATAAATGGGAGCGAAAGGGGACATAACCTAAATGCTAATTGCCTCTCATTGTATAGCTGCCAGCAATTGCATCTAGAGCTAACTTCCAAGAATACAGTAAATACAAACTATGATTTACAATCTAAAATGGAATTCTCGGCTGGAAAAACTCATGATCGATTTGAGAATGGAATAGCATCTTCGCCTAAGACGCCATTGTATCAGCCTAAGCTTAGTTCTCTTCATTCAGCTCAGCTAGATTCACCCTTTTGTGAAGGCTTTGCATCAAATATCTCCAAACCAAATGGTTTATGTGCTGATTCATTTGATGTTAAAGAGATACTAAGGGATAAAAGTTCTAAGAAACTCCTAGAGACATGTGCTACTTCATGGTTGTATTCACGTAATCTATTTCGTGGAAATATTGTGGCAATTCCAATACTTTCGGAGTTTTGCATTTTCCGTGTGATAGGTGCTGGTATCAGTAATCAGGATTTGACGAAGGGAAATCATCAAAGTTTGGCCCCACAAACTCTTGAACCGATGGTGCATGTGAATAGTGCTTTTGTTGTTGACCACAATACTAAAGTATACTTATGTTCATCATCGGATTTGTCTTATGAAAATCAATTTGAAAGACCTTCGCCGTGTGTGCAACATGACCTTGGAGATGTGAAAACCATTGTGGAGCATGATATTCTAGAACTCGGTGGCTTGTCTAAAGAATATGAAATATTGAATGAAGTCATTTTCTCATCGATGAATAATGTTATGTCAAGGTAAATGATATAAATTTGCTCTTCTTGTTTACTTTTTGGAACTAATAGTATTATTCTATTCTGTGATGGCTTCTTGTTTCCATGTAAATACAAAATTGGATGTTGAAACATTCATTACAATGAAGATTAGGCAAGTTTTAATGCGCAGAATGTATTTATTGGTATAAAGGTAAATTACAGAGGATCAGATTTTGCTCCAGCTGGTTAGCATCAGACTCTAGAACTTGTTTTACATGTTTTTGACTTAAATTTGGTCCATGATAAGGTGAAGTAATCACGTGAATGAGATTATGGGGGCTAGACAGTTAAGCCTGGGACCTAGAATTTATATATTCTGTGGGTTTTTATTTCTATAACAGGGAAAATATTCTCTCTTTTTTATTTTTTCAATTGAATGTGTCATTTTCTGTTTTTAAGCAGTAAAGTATTGTTATTTTTGTCAGATATTATCTGATGCATTCATTCACAACTACCTCTTTTTCTTTGTTTTTTTTCTCATTTGTTTCACATAGCAAACATTACAATGATGATGACTAATGTAATTGTTTTAGATTTGGTTTGCGAACTATAAAAGGAGTACTTCTTCATGGTCCACCTGGAACGGGAAAGACTTCTTTGGCACGGCTATGTGTCCGTGATGCTGGTGTTAGCTTCTTCTGTGTTAATGGACCTGAGATTGTTAGTGAATATCATGGAGAAAGTGAGCAAGAATTGCTCAAAGTTTTTGAGTCAGCTAAACAGGCTGCACCTTCCGTGGTTAGATTTTTTTGTTGTCAAACATGATAGTTTTGTTAACTTCTATTCTATGTGCTTTGCAACTCTATGCTTAAGTCGTTGAGATTTGAGACACCTTGAAGATGATGAACAAAAAAATAATGGATGTAAGATGTGGTAGCAAAATGTTAACATGTCAATTTTAACACCTCGGTTTTTATCTTTTGAAGAAAAATATTAAAGGTTTATGTTTTCTAGGGCTTATTGCATAGCTTCTATGCTTCTTAAATGCAACCTAACTGACAGTTCCTCTATGTAGGTGTTCATTGACGAGTTAGATGCCATAGCTCCTGCACGGAAAGAAGGAGGTGAACATCTATCCCAAAGAATGGTTGCTACTTTGTTGCATTTGATGGATGGGGTTAGTACAACTGATGGAGTACTTGTCATTGCCGCCACCAACAGGCTTGATAGCATTGAGCCTGCACTTAGACGACCTGGAAGATTTGACAGGGAACTTGAGATAGGTAAGAAGATTTTGTCTTTGATATTAAATTTTGTTGGAATCCCTAAGATTAAGGACAAATTTCTCACCTTAGTCTTAGTAGTTGCCTTTTTTTTTATATAAAAGTTGAAAGTCTCATTAAAAACTCCCTTCGTATTCGTCCACATACTAAGAAGTATGTTAACGAACATTGGAAGGAAGAAAAGAGTACCTCATAGTTTATTAAGAATAATACCCAATACATATGAAAACACGGAATCTACTCATATGGAGAAACACACCATTACAACAAACCAGAAACACCTAAAACTCTCACATCCTCAACCAAAAAACCCCATCGACAATCACCCTATTTCTAAGTTACACCTCCAACAAAAGGAAAAAAACAACGCAAAAGAACATAACACAAAAGAAAACCAACACCTGCAACCATTTAAACTAAATCAAAGCCCCAATTGAAGAAATGAGATCTAATGAGTATCGACTTCGTCAGGGACCCAAGACTTTGGTTTGAAGGAAGGCTCAATTTCATGCACTATGATTTTGAAGGAGTTAGCATCGACCTTCAACTCCAACGACTCATCAATTCTCACATGAGCCTTTGTGAGGATTTGAATTTTTGCCCGATCAAAAGATGATGGTGAGTGACAGCTTTCGTCGATTGCTAATAAATTACCCCACTTATCTGCAATGTTTTTGAAAGTATCTCAATTCCAAGCGTGAAAAGGAACTCCCTCTTAAACTAACCACACTTGACGACACTCCACCACCAGACTTTTTGACCAAGCTTCAACTCTGGAGAACCACTTTGCGAGTCTCTGATTTATCGTTCTTCACCTTTCTCAATGAAGCAGTCTTCAAAAATCATTAGTACTGCATTTCCAGCAGCTCTCATTAACGAGAAACCAGTGAGGCATTTGGCTTGCATTTGATTAGCGAGATTACCGATTTTGATAAATTCCTTGCACCACCCCACTAGACATTTACTCAACACGTGAAGTTTATCTTCGTCCATAACACCTTCAACTTCACAATGATTATTCCTCGAAACAACTTTCATCCCCGACTTGAGGTGAATAGTTGTCGAGGTCTTTCTCCAAAAAGACTGTCGAGGTTTAAATTTAGCCAAAGAAACACTAATTTTGCTGTCGTCAATATGAGAACCATTCATTTCTGAGATCGCTTTTCTTGCTTCTTCGATTGTTGCAAAACGAATAAACCCAAAACGAACCCCTTTTGAATTTCTTTTGTTAGGAATGAAACCATCAATTACTCGACTGTGAGTGCAAAATAAAGATTCAAACCTCTTCTAATGGATCTTCTTTGGTAAGTTTTCGATAAATAACGTGTAGCAACCACTTCTGTACCCATTACGGATTTTTTGTTGACATTCCTTCCACCAATTATGAAACCCGATTCTCCTCCTTGCTACTACATAAGACTTTTTTTCATCGGAATACCCCTTTGTGGTGAACTCCTTGCTAGTAGTTTCCTTGTAAAGTAGGAACTAATTTAGTTACTGATTCTTAGGAATTTTATTGATTTTTAGTGATTACTTCCTTATGTGTACTTAGTTCTCTCTATAAAGGTTGTAAATTACTTGGTGAATGATAACAACCTTCTTTCTAAGTTTGTTTATGGCATCAAAGCGTTAGGATTATTCCGATTCATCTCTTTCGATCCTTCTCTTTCAACTCTGATTTCCCTCTAAAAAATGCCTCCCTTTTCCTCCCATGGTTGACGAAACCCAGTTCGATTCTGGAACTTCACAAGTTCCTCCAAATACCAATTAGGTAGCCACTCAAGGTGACCTTAACTCCCCCTTTATAATCACAAATCATCGTCTTGATGGGAAAAACTTCTTACAATGGTTTCAATCCATTCTCATGGTGATTTGTGATCGTGGAAAACTATGATACAACAATAGAGACATCCCACGACCAACCATAGAAGATCTTACTTATTCTGCATGGGAGCTCAACAACTCAATTGTAATGGCTTGGCTAATCAACTTGATGGAGAGCCACATAAGTCGTACTTATCTTCTTTTCAATACTGCGAAAGATACGTGGGATGCAGTTAAGAACTACTCCGTTTTGGGAAATGCTTCTCAAGTATTTGAGATCAAACTCAAATTAAAAGATACTCGACAAGGGACGCTGCGAAGTAACTCATTACTACAACAATATGAAGATCCTATGGCAAGAACTCGACGTGTATTATGAGGTTGACTGGGGTGAAGGCTTGGAACACTCCAAGTTTATGACACATCTCAACAAGGAACGACTCTATGAGTTCCTAGCAGGATTGAACCGAGAGATGGATGAAGTCCGCGGGCTTATTTTGGGCATAACTCCTCTACCAACTATTGGTTAAGCATTTGTAGAAGTTCGAAGGGAGGAAAATCAGCGTCGAGTCATGATGGGAAACATAAAGAAATCTAAAACTGTGACAACCTTGGTCACTGTCCGGTTGAAACTTCTACCCTCATCTCCAAGGGACCACAATTACAGAAAAACTGAGTTGTAAATGATGCAGGGTCAACTCGTCCATGGTGTAATCACTGCAACTGTGTTGGTCATACAATGGAAAAATGCTTTAAACTCCATGGTTATCCTAGAAAAAAACCAAAAGGATAACAAGACTGCAATGATGACCTTTAATATCTCTAATGTTGCAAATGATGCTCTCGATGTTCTCCTGACCAAAACCCAACTTGAGACCCTTCATAAGTTGCTTGGTACTTCTAATGCGCATGGATCTCTAGCTACCCAAGGTACTGCCCTCAACATTGGCTTTGAATCTAACAACCATTCCTCCTCTTGGGTACTCGATTCAGGTGCTTCCGATCACATAACAAGTAACTTTCAAACCTATACACCGTACCGTGATCAGTCCCGAATCCACATAGTTGATGGCTCTTATTCACGGGTGGCTGGAGTGGGGAAAATACAACTAACAGAGAATTTTTCTCTTGATAAAGTCCTACATGTCCCAAACTTGTCCTGCAATTTACTTTCAATCATCAAACTTATCAAGGATGAAAACGTTCTTGCTGAATTTTTGCATTTGGTTGTTTGGTACAAGATTAGAAACCGAGGAGGAGGATTTTTTTTTATAAGAAGTGGAGGCCTCATTAAAAAAACCCTCATGATTAATCGAACACCAAACGGTGTTTCTTAATCAGCGGAAGGAGGAAAAGAGTGCCTCAAAATTCATTAATAAGAAAAGATTACATAAAGGTTAAAACAAACAATCCCCTTACAAACAACCCAAAAAACACCAAAACACCCAGTGAACATTTTTAAATCTTGCCCATGCTAGTGCACCTACCACCTACGTGAAGGGTTGATGCCCATACCAATATGCTACACCCCAAACACAAGTACATAACACCCAACAGCCCTACATCCCACATGCAGCTCGATTCCCCATCACCCATGCCCTGCTGCTCCACTAGCACACAAACCTTGGTTGCTGCCCATCCTCCACCGAGCAAACCCATACCTTGCCCATACCTTGCTGCCAAAAACACATCTACCAACAGCTCTAAAAAGACAAACCTGACATAAAGCCAAAGTATGGCCCGAAATACAACACAATACATCAAATAGACGCCAACAAAACAGCTAACACAAACCATATAAGTCAAATTCAAACATTACAACCATGAGCTTCCGCACGATAATAGATGAACAAAACAAAACTTCGAAAAAACTCTATCCACCAATCCGAATTGTCGGCTGAGACCATCCGAACTTTCAGCTCCAAACAATAAGCATGATGCAGATCACCTGAAACTTCTACTACTTCCCCTACCATAGTCTTCCGAAATCAGATACACTACTGAACCATTAGACTCACAACCCAATTCTTTCCCAAACTGCAAGGAATCGATCGCATCCTTCTGTTGGGACTGCCCCAATGCTAGAAAGTCAGAATCATATATGAATCTGCCTTCAATAATAAACACCTATTCCTCCCGCTACACCTTACTCTAATGGCTCTTGATATTGTTAAAGTTGATGATGTACTCTATGTTTGGAATAAAGACAGAGGATTGGCTCAATCCACTTCAAAAGATGACACAATTATGTTATGTCACCGTAGACTAGGGCATCCAAACTTTTTGTACTTGAAGAAACATTTTCCACTATTATTTCGAAATAAAAGTGTTAGTTCCTTGAAGTGTGAGATTTGCCAATTATCCAAACATACCCGTGTACAATACCCATTAAAACCATATATACAATCCCAACCTTTTTCATTAATCTACAATGACCTATGGAGAGCCAGTCGAGTGAAGAATGTTACGGGGCTAGGTGGTTTATAACTTTCATTGATGATCACACTAGGGTCTGTTAGTTTACCTTCTCTAAGAAAAATCTGAAATGCTCAAAATATTCCAAAACTTTCACTCAATGGTTCAAACCCAATTTAATTCTACCATACATACTCTCCACACTGACAATGGGAGAGAATATTTTAACTCTATCCTAAGTCCTTATCTCTTTGACCAAGGAATCGTTCACCAAAGCTCTTGTCCTGACACTCATCAACAAAACGGGATCTCCGAGAGAAAAAACCGACATCTACTTGTTGTAGCTCGAGCCCTCGTGTTTACCATGGGTGTACCAAAATATTTGTGGGGAGAGGTTGTCCTTACTGTCTGCTATCTCATAAACCGACTACCATCAAAAGTTCTAAATCTCCAAACACCTCTAAGTACCCTTCAAAAGGCTTTTCCCTTATTTCGTGTTCCTAATCTACCACAAAAAATATTTGGTTGCAAAACCTTTGTCCATAATCATCAACTCAATCAATCCAAACTTGATCCTCGAGTCCACACTTGCGTCTTCATTGGCTATTCCCCGCACAAAAAGGCTACAAATGTTATTTACCAACCTTACACCGAATGTATGTCTCTCAGGACGTTACCTTTTTTTAGAATGAACCATATTTTGCAAAATCTCATCTTCAAGGGGAGACACTCAATGAAGATGAGTCCCTTAATATCCTTCTCATTATACCACCTGATCCTACCACTACTACCACAAACAAACCTAATAACTAGGATGCCATTGTAATCCCAAATTTAGACACTATTTCATCTGTGCAGCAGGAAATTAACATGGTTGATCACACCACTAGGGAGCAACAACCACCTGATCTAGGAAGACAACAAGAACAGGCTCCAGAAATTCGTCTAAAAGTACGGGTTTACTCTCGGCGGGGGTATCCTCATGAAACTGATACAGTAGTGCTAATTTCATCCCCAACCGAGGACTGTTCTGAACAAAAGTCTCTCCTCAATCTCCATCCATCTATCTTCCAATTGCAATTCGAAAGGGTACAAGGTGCTGCACTCAACACCCTATATCTCGGTTTGTGTCCTATGGAAACTTGTCTAAGTCTTACAAAACTCGTGTCTAATGTTGATTATGTAGAAACTCCAAAAAATATAGAAGAAGCTCTTGAATCAAATGAGTGGAGGCAAGCTGTGATGGAAGAAATGAAGGCACTAAAAAGCAATGAAACTTGGGAAGTCTCGGATCTACCTGAAGAAGACAGTGGGGTGCAAATGGATCTTCACTACAAAATTTAAACCCGATGGTAGTATTGATCGACACAAGGCTCGGCTTGGGGCTAAGGGATTCACACAAACCTATGGCCTTGACTACGATGAGACGTTTGCACCGGTTGCCAGGTTAAACACCATTCGAGTTCTTCTATCCCTAGTGGTCAACTTGGATTGGCCATTGAATCAATTGGATATAAAAAATGCATTCCTCAATGGAGAATTAATTGAGAAAGTGTACATGGATTTCCCACCCGAGTTTGAAGAAAGGAAGGGCAAAGTGTGTAAGTTGAAAAAGTCCTTATATGGGCTGAAGCAATCTCCAAGGGTGTGGTTCAGTCGATTTGTCAAAGCTATGATCAGTAGAAGTTATGTTCAAGGACAAGCCGACCACACCATGTTTTATAAACACTCGGAAAGTGGAAAATGTTGCATCCTAATTGTTTATGTGGACGATATAATATTAACAGGAGATGATTCAAGCGAAATTGAGAAGCTAAAAGAGTTCCTTAGTGCATAATTCAAACTCAAGGACTTGGGGAATCTTAAATACTTCCTTGGAATGGAGATAGCAAGGTCTAAGGCAGATATTTCCATCTCCCAAAGAAAGTATGTTCTTTGTCTACTATCTGAAGTCGGTTTGTTGGGTTGCAAACCAGCCAAAACTCCTATGGAATTTAATCTTAAATTGGGAACTGATAATGATGGAGAAGAAGTTGACAGGGGGAGATATCAACGACTAGTAGGGAGACTTATCTACCTATCTCACACCCGTCCAGACATAGCCTTCGGTGTGAGTGTTATCAGTCAGTACATGCATGCTCCAAGGGAGAAGTGCCTGGAAGCTGCGTACAGGATATTAAGGTATCTAAAAAGGACTCCTAGTAAAGGCATACATTTCAAGAAAACTACCAACCGAAATGTGGAAGTATACACTGATGCAGACTGGGCAAGGTCTGTTAATGATAGACGTTCTACAAGTGGTTACTGTAGCTATGTTTGGGGTAACCTTGTGACGTGGAGAAGCAAAAAACAATTTGTTGTAGCACGCAGCAGTGCAGAAGCAAAGTATCGAGCACTATCCCATGGTATATACGAAAGAATCTGGGTACAAAGACTAATGGGAGAACTAAAAGTGCCCTACACCAGACCTATAAAGATGTATTGTGACAACCAGGAAGCTATCAGCATACCTCATAATCTTGTACACCACGATCGCACCAAACATGTGGAAATAGACCGCCACTTTATCAAAGAGAAAATTAACTTTGGAGAAGTGTCCATCACCTACCTACCTACTAGACAAAAAGTTGCAGACTTGTTAACCAAAAGTTTGAGCAGAAACATGTTTGAGGAACTTATTGGCAAGCTGGGTTGGATAAATATCTACACTCCAACTTGAGGGGGAGTGTTGGAATCCCTATGATTAAGGACATATTTCTTACCTTAGTCCTAGGAGTTGCCTTGTAAAGTAGGAACTAATTTAGTTACTGATTCTTAGGAACTTTACTGATTTTTTGGGACTACTTCGTTATGTGTACTTAGTTCTCTCTATAAAGCATGTAAATTACTTGGTGAATGATAACAACCTTCTTTCTAAGTTTGTTCGAATTTCATAACCTTGATAATATTTCTTCATGGTAGTTCTATTCTTACATTCATGTGATATAAATTACAACATTTACGCCATCACAAATTCCACTTATTTTTTATGATGTTATCACGAACTGATTTGTCAGGATAAAATCTAAGGCAGATATAATTTAATTGAAATAAAGCAGTTGCGGTTAACTCTTCTTTACTTTCCTCTAAGGTTGCTTGGAGGAAGAAATAGAAAGCTACTCGAGTTTAGATATGTCTCTTACCGTCTTAAAATATCTAAGAAATAAATGAATATAGCTAATATTCAGGTCTGTGAACTCTAAGTGCACTATACGATGTTCAAGGAAGTCTGTGGAACCATAAATGAACTTAGAATAATAAGTTTGTTTTGCTTCTTTTGTTGTCCATCCAATCGATGCAAATACAAGTGGCAAATCTTCTTCCCTTCTTTCTGATGTGCTATATTGATAATTTAAATGTAGGCGTGCCATCTCCAAAGCAACGACTAGATATACTGCACACTCTTCTCAGAAAAATCGACCACAACATTTCAGATATTCAAGTTCAGCAACTTGCCATGGTTACACATGGTTTTGTGGGTGCTGATCTAGCTTCACTTTGTAATGAGGCAGCCCTAGTTTGTCTTAGGCGTTACGTTAAATTTAAAGATTCTTCATCTTGCAAATTGCCTGATTCTGCTGAGGCAGTCTTACAAACAACAGCTAGTATCCATAACGGCATTGACAATATTTCTGAAGGGACGTCTTTGGTGAAAGAAAATTGCCTGCTAAGAGTGGTGTTTGAAGATTTTGAAAAGGCCAGGATGAAAGTGAGACCGAGTGCCATGCGTGAGGTATGACTAAGATATAATTGTTGTTTGGGGAAATATTTTGTTGCCATTTTTTCAAGGCTACTGATCTCTACTACTGCAAGGACAACACCAAAAACAGTTTCTGTGCACAATTTTATGCTTTCAGCATTGTTTTGAAATATTAACTAAAAAGGATTGAAGTTATAACTTCTTAGAATTGCTAGTTGATTTATTTTTACAAAATTTTATGACTAAGATATAACTGTTTTTTAGCGTGAGGTATGACCTTTGTTCTGTGCTTGTAGATCATACTTGAAGTTCCAAAAGTTAATTGGGAAGATGTTGGTGGTCAAAGGGAGGTCAAAACTCAGTTGATAGAAGTTGTTGAATGGCCTCAAAAACACCAGGATGCATTTAAGAGGATTGGCACGCAGCCTCCCACAGGGGTGTTGATGTTTGGACCTCCTGGTTGTAGCAAAACCCTCGTGGCTCGTGCTGTGGCTTCAGAAGCTGGATTAAACTTTCTAGCAGTGAAAGGTCCAGAACTTTTCAGCAAATGGGTTGGTGAATCTGAGAAGTCAGTAAGATCTCTTTTTGCAAAGGCGAGGGCAAATGCTCCATCAATCATATTTTTTGATGAAATTGATAGCCTCGCCGTTGTTCGTGGGAAGGATACTGATGGGGTTTCAGTTTCAGATAGGGTCATGAGTCAACTTCTTGTTGAGTTGGATGGTTAGTACTAGACGTGAAGCATTAGTTCCCCTCTTATATTAATGGTGCTCTTGCTTGTCTTCGCTGTTTCTTTTTACGAATGCATCTTTGGAGCTTTGCTTATATCTAGATTATTTTAATTTAAAGCATGTTCAGTTTGATTTAGCCTTCCATCAGGAGACTCCATCTGTCCTATTTGGATTATAACTGTAATGTATCTTGTTTGCTCGTATGTGATAAAACAATTTAGTTTTCTTTCTTTTCAAATATACTGACTGGATTGAAACTCTTGTTGATCTAGGCTTGCATCAGAGAGTTGATGTTATGGTAATTGCAGCCACTAATAGACCAGACAAGATTGACCCTGCACTTTTAAGACCAGGTCTTTTCTCTCACCCATTCCATCCACTCTTGATATAGAAGAGAAAGCACAGCTAATTTTACAACTTTATAATAGACTAATATTTGTAACATGAACATGATTACTTCCTAATATATAACAACGATTCATGCAGGACGTTTTGATCGACTGCTATATGTTGGACCGCCAAATGAGAATGACCGTGAAGATATATTTCGTATCCATTTGCGCAAAACTCCTTGCAGCTGTGATGTCATCTTAAAAGAGCTTGCTTATCTCACGGAGGGCTGTACTGGTGCTGATATATCATTGATTTGCCGAGAGGCAGCTGTCATAGCTCTTGAGGTTTGTGAGTCTAAGCTTGGTTTTCTGAACGTTTCTCACCATTGTCGATTTAACATTAATTTGCAATCAGGAGAGCCTTGATGCTGAAGAAGTAACAATGTGCCATTTGAAAGCTGCAATCAGACGAGCACGACCATCGGAAATTCAGTTGTATCAAGAGCTATCAACAAAATTTGAAAGGCTTGTTTCTTCCAGCTCTGTAGAAAACAAATTAGGATCTCAACAGTGCTCAACTGGATTGACCGGTTTCACCTTATGGTAAACATTTCTTTTACTTTATTTCTCTGCATCATGTCATTGTGATTGATTAGCTGTGATGTATCTTTCCCTAACAGAAAATCTCAGCATTTGAAACAGACTTAAATGCTCCATTGCAGCCTAAGCTATGCACTTTTTACCAAGTTGCCCCCTAAAGTATTTTTCGGGATGTTTTGCCCATTGAAGTTTAAATCGTTACCTCATTCTCTCCAAACCGTTAATTTTGTTAAAAAATACAAGGGCAAATTACATATTTAGTCACTGAACTATTTATGTGGTTCTGTTTTGGTCACCTAACTATTTTTTATTTTAAAATCATCACTAATTTTTTTTCCGTTTTAGTCACCCAATCGATTCAATTTATTTTTTAAATTTGTAACATATAAGAATTCATTTTTATCACATTTTTTACTCAACACAAATTTAATTTATAATAATAAATATTATTATAATGTAGTCTTTGATGCTTTTTGATGTTTCCTTTTTATTTCTGTTTTTGGGTAGTTGCCTTCCCTTTTTCTCTTGACCGGTGCTTACTTGGTTTTAATGCTGGCGTTCTAATGTTCGTCTCTTTATTTATTTGTTTTGCCATCTGTGCCTCCCATATATATACATCTGAATTTAGTGATTTAGACCTAAATAAAGCTTCCCCCCAACGTTGATTAAAGAGGATGCACCTTAAATTGATAAGAAAATAAAGAACAGTGCCATTAGATTTCTGGGGTGGGAAGTTAGAAACTTTAAATGTTAGGTTCTGAACCACTTGCCGCTGATGAATTCAGAGCAAAATCTTCCGGTAGATTTACTTCCTGAATGCATGGAAATTTATATCCAATAATGTCGTCTTTTCTTTTTATGCTTCCTTGGTTGTGTTGAGATGCCATGTAATAAGCATTGAGAATGCACGTGAATGTGGACTAGCGAAAGTCCGAATGGAAGTAATTTTGTTCTATTGTTCTGGTTTGGTTTCATGAAAATGGTTGACCTATAGTAGTTAACTTGAGGAGAATGTCAAGCTTCTAGAATTTATGTTGTGTTAGAATTTATGTTATGTTGTGTTAGAATTTTGTAGTCATTTACATTGTTGACTACTCCATGGATAATGTGATATTCACCTTTGTTCAGTGTATTTCTGGTACTTAGTTCTTCACCTCTTCTTGTTCCATACAAGAAATGCATTTATGTCTCCTTTTGTCTTGGTAGTTTCATACAACAGAATGGAAGGCACCTTTGTTTTCTTTACTACTAGGTGAAAGAAAGATATTTATATCAAGCATATTTGTTTTACTGTGATTTACTGGGATAGGGTGAAAATTGAATGTTGATAAGCTATTTCTTCTTCTTTATTATTATAAATTAAATTTATATGTCGAGTAAAACAATATGTGATAAAAATGAATTCTTACATATTATAAATTTTAAAAAATAAATTGAATCGGGTAACCAAAACGAAACAAAAAATTAAGTTTAGTGATGATTTTGAAATAAAAATAGTTGGGTGACCAAAACAAAATTGCATAAGTAGTTCAGTGATTAAATATGTAATTTGCTCTTATGTTTTTTAACAAGGTTAAAGGTTTGGTTGACCAAAACAAAATTGCGTAAGTAGTTCAGTGAATCAAAACTTAAGTTTAGTGATGATTTTGAAATAAATATGTAATTCCTCCAAAGGACAGATGAGTGTTGTTTGAAGTTGCAATATGTGAGCTTAGTTTTTGTTTTGGTTGGGTTTGATGAAATCTAAGTAATTGAATGATTTGGTTTGTTGTGTTAATAATTCAGGAAGGCCGTCTCAGTTATCTGCATAGGAGCCGTCATAGGTATCAAGTCCGCCCAGTTGCTGTGGAAACAAAAGAGTCATTATTTTTGAGTTAGTTTTGATGGAGTGAAACACAATTTTGACTTATGCAAACACTGTGTCTATTAAATTATATTTATCCAATTGTTTTGTGCTTCAAATTTCAATTTCCAAAAGAAATGTGCCAAAGTACTTGAAGTTCCAACTTAAATTTTCACTGAAAATGTACGAACTAATTTATCTTAGTGGTTAAAGGAATTGTTTTTGTCCCTAGAGGTTATGAGTTCGAGCATCAATAATTGTAGCAGAGTGATTAAGCGTTTAATGTTAAATAATTGAGAGTATTTAGAACGGATATCACTTGTTATCACTTTAGTTTAATAAAAAAAAAATCACTGAAAATATCTTACCCCACATGTTATGTTCTGATGAAATTGCCTAATTTTCCCTGATTATGATGATTTCCATTTGGTTATTGAGCAACCATTTGATGTCAATGACTTTAATTGCACCGTAACAACATGGATATATTACTCAGTTAAGATCAAATATTAGAAGGGGGTAAATTATTTAAATTTAAAATGGTAACTTATTAAAATTTAGAGGGTAAAAGTTTAAATTGGAATAAAGTATTGTTTTTGTATTTTGAGTTATTTATGGGAACATATGAAAATTGTTATCTTCTTTTAACTTTTATTAATTTTGGATTATCGATTTTTTTTCAAAAATAATAATTTACTTTATCGATTTATAACATTTTAATTATTAAGATTTTAATTTACTACTATCATCATTCACTATCGACCGTCATCATCAACGACAGTTGAATTTTAATAATTTCAATTCACTTTTTTTTTTTTTTGCTTCCTGAACTTGAATAATGATGTTCGTTTCATAAAAATATACCAAACCTTATAAATATAACATTAAACCCTCAACTTCTTTTAAAATTAAAATTAATATATTTTAAAAAATAAGTACAATATATATATATATATATATATATATTATAATCAAATATGGTTTTTTTATGACTTTTATAGCATGTGAATTTTCTTCAAACCAAATATTTATAATTAATTAAGTGTACATGTCTTGTTTCTTTCATTCAAGTTAACTTCGTAAAATTAGGGGCAATAGCTACTTTAAATATGCGTTATGCACGATCCTTTTGTGGGGATCAACCCGTCTCCTAGTTTTCTTTTTAACTGTCATTCTAAATATCAAAGGCCTTTTGTTTTTATAGTAGTAGTGGATTTTGTTGCGTGTGTTATTTTAGGGCAAAAATTACGAAACGTTCAACGTTTTCTTACTTCTGTTGTTGGATTTTTTGGCCCTCTTATGCAGTTGCATGGCGATTTGTGTAAGACAATTTTAGCAAATTTTCACCCTCTTGAATTTTACCATGGATAAACTCTATAAATTAGCAGAGGTGAATTTGGATTAATTCTCGTTTCTGAAATTATCGATTTAAATCATAATAGTTTGCTTATTTTCTAGAACCAAACATGTCCTTAATATTCCCAACACTCATAGCTTCGAGCAGTTGTGTTTGCAGGGTATGTATGTGTTGTCAATTAACTAAGACAATTATGAACATATATTATCTTATAATCATTCTAAACTATTCAAAAATATATTTTATTATAATTTAATAAAATTTCATAATTATTTTATAATTTTTAAAAATTTATTCATTAACCATCTTAAGTCACATGTTATATAATTTATTCATTAACCATTTTATATTTTATGCCTTACACGGCCATCTCCATATCCTGTTGTTCCTCTTTTTCTTTAATTTTTATCTACTTTTTAATAATAATGTTTTCTCTTTACTCTTTTTTTTTTGGTAAAGAGTATCATGGCTATCGGTGTTTTTGAACTTTCGGTGCAAGTTTCTTTTATTGGTCTTCTTCTAGGTCTATGATTCTACATGTTTTCATGGTTGGTTGCTTTTATGATGTTTGGTTTTTTGTTCATTTGTCCATGACGATCCGTTAGTTATCGAATAGCTATGTCGGATAGGATTGTCGTTAAGAGGAAATCGTTTTTTGGTTTGTTCGTTTTGGATACTCTTTAAGTTTTTCTCTTCATGATTGGTGATTGGGGCCGTTGGAGTGATCCGTTTATATACGTCGTTGCCTCAATTGTTTATGTAACGCCCCAAAATACGAGTAAGGAGTTTCGAGTTTGTTCGAATGACCTTTAGAATAATTTTCCCTAGTTATGAAGCTTAGGACCCATTTGGATTTGATTTTGGCTTGAGATGAGCCCAACAAGTTTTAAAAAGGGTGTTTTAACCTTAACTTGAAAGTGGGAGGACCAAATGAGTAATTAACCCAATTATTCAAACAAAGGTTGAAACCCCTTAATTGTTTGATGATATCACGTCTGTTGCATCCTCTTCTTTTTCATCCCATGTTTTGTCTTCTTCCTCTCTTTTTCTTTATCCTTTTCCCTTCCAAGCCAAGCTTAAGCTAGGAACTTTAAAAAAACTCAATCCTCATTTAAGAACTCCAAGATAAGAACTACAAACTTCAATTCAAGCCCCTATTTTCAAGTTTTGGTTAAGTTATCAAAATATGGGTTTAAGTAGGGTTTATGGAACCTTGTGATTCAGTCCGTTTTTTAGAGAGTTTTGGGTTGTAAGAATTATTTCTAGTGTTCCTTTAAGTTTAAGATGAGTTAAAAACTCATTTCCATGGCTTTGATTAGTGCAAGAGCAAGGGGAGAGGTCAAAGGATAGATGTAAGGAAAAACTAGTCCTTGGGTGATTTGGGAACGTGTTTCAATCACCTAGCTTCAAGGTAACACGATTCTAACTTGACCACACTGCATGTAGGTCATCGTATGTGCATTTTGATATGTTTTGTTCATGAGAGCATGCTAGAGTAATTTCATGGCAAGATCATTTTTTGTTGTTTGTAACAATGAAAGATGATAACTTTTAACCTCTAAGATCCTATATAAGACTCTAATAAGCTTTTCTAGTCTTAGGGAAGTGTATGGGTGAGATGAGGAGGCATTTTCGTGCCCAAAATAGGGCATTTTGGTCTGTAGGTATCGGTACTGGAAGAACAGTACTGATTTGTTCTTTGTGAAAGGCAAAAAAAGCATTTTTAAGGGTAAGTATCGATACCCCTTCAAGGAGTATCGATACTGGGGCATTTTTTTGAAAACATCGAAGCCAAATTTGGTATCGATACTCATGGGGAGTATCGATACCTAGGGTAAAGTATCGATACTCCCCATAAAAGTATAGATATCGAGGTATTTTTCAAAACATATCGAAGCTAATTTTGGTTCAATCATCATGGGTGTTTGGTCTTAGGTGTTTTGAGTTCGTATATGCTACAAGTATTCAATGAAAGTGAAAACAAACAAGTTAACTCAATTATCACCTAGAAATCAAGCAAGATAAGGTGACATAATATTGACCTTTGCATGATGCTCGGGAAACGGCTAGGACACCCGAGTTAGTCTAGCGTTATGACGATCGTTCTTTATTTGTGAATATATGGATATTGTATGTTTGGTACACATCCGATGCACGTAACTTCTGAGTTGTACCGATACGAATTTCGATGGACGCAAATTCTGTAATCGTACCTTATGCTCGACCAGGTTCGAGATGTGAGCTTCCGATATACGTAAATTTCAGACCTCACCCTGACCTCTCAAGGATCCGAGGTAGACTAAGGGCTATAAGTTCCGATGCATGTAATTTCCGATTCTTACCCCGAAGCTATTACGTTCTATATAGGCTAGTGTGTTGTCTGCGACGTAAGTAAATTTCTTTAACCACACTAGCCTATCTCATGTTTGTTATGTACTTTTGCATGTTTATGACTTTGCACACCGACATGTCCATGTAGTGAATGCATATAGTATTGCATAGTTATTCTTATGACACAAAGCTTGTGAGATCAACGTATGGAATATGTTTATGTGCGTAGGTTAGTAGAAGGATTGTTAAGGAGCCTATTACATCAATACATTATAGATCAACCGTTGCAGAGTATGTCTTGAGTCTATTTTAGAGGGCATGCATTTTATGTGGACCTTGTACTTATTCGAGTCATGACTCTATTTTGATTTTAAACTTATAGGTTGTATTTATGCGTATTTGGGAGACTCCCGTATTTTGAAAACTTAAATTCGATTTCGCTTATGATATGATGAATGATTTTGATAAGCATAAATTGCTTTGTATTGGCAATTGATTGTGTAGTTTCTTTCTTGTTAACTTCTTCATGAATAGGTTTTACTGAGAAATTCCTTTGAAATATTATTAGTTTGAAATGCTTCATTTGAAAGTCAGGCTTCCTAAATGATGTCTTTCTAGTCTTAATTAATTTATTTTTCCGTTGGGTTTGAGTGTTTGTTTTTCGATAATCAATGTGGCTGTTTCAAGAGGAAAATGCGAATATTTCTCACGAATTTTTTTCTCCCCAACAAAATCAGGGCTTGAATCATATCTAATGCACTTATTGTGAACCATCATTGTACCAAACTAAGCATTTTGATTTCAATGCTTGCTTGAATATATCTATGAAGCACGGGGAGTCGGGGATGGCAAAGGAACCCTGTTTCAAGTACCCGATAGTTCCGGGGATGGCTGGGGTATGTATTGGGGACGTGCCGTGGTGGCGGGGTACGGCAGAATGAATTTGAGGACGTTCGATACTTAGCTGGGGACGTTTCGGGATGTCCCCAGGGGTAATTTTGGCTTTAAATTACTTATTTCTACTCTGTACTTCCCTTTCTCTTTCTCCTTGTTCGTAACCGACGTGGGATCTGCCTTTGTGGTAACCACTCCCCTAAAATTACAGACCAATGAGTTGGCTACGGTTCATCTTTTTCAAGAGAACACTCCATCTGTTGTTTACATAACCAATCTCGCCATCAGGTTCACTTGAAATTTGCCCTTTCTTTTTTGGGTAGTTTCCATTTTTGCTTTTTTTTAAGGGTTTTCTTGGGTAATTGGATTTGTTTAGGCAGGATGCTTTTACATTAGATGTGCTGGAGGTACCACAAGGATCTGGGTCAGGTTTCGTTTGGGATAAAGATGGTCATGTTGTCACCAATTATCATGTGATTCGTGGTGCATCTGATCTCAAGTTCGTTTTTTTAATTTAATGAATCTAATTGTTTCCTGTTTTTTGCGTTTACTGTAAATGATTAGGATTGAATTATTGTAGAATGGGAATGAATATATCTATAGGTGATTTCTATCAATATTTTTTATGAATATTTTTTTGTTTGTAAATGGACATATAGGCCACTACATATGAATTATTGTTTTATGAATTCTAATTTTCTATAAATATTGATTTTATTTATGATTTTTACTTCGATTTATAATTTTAATTTTTTTTCATATGTTATCTCCGTACCCTGTAATTTTAGAAATTGCCGTTTCTCGTCCCTATCCCTGTATCCGTATCAGTGCTACCTAGGAATATATAACCGTCTCTAATTGATGGTTCTGTTTGTTTATTGTAGATGTGCAAGGATCCGACAATCCTATTCCACTTTCACCGCAATGGCTTCTTTCAAAGCCAGGGGAGAGTAAGCTTGGAATAGGAACTATGGTATGTTATTATTGCTCTTGTGTTAGCTATATGATTCTGTTATTTAACTCACTGTGCCCTTGTTCATTTATATATTGGTTTTGTGTTGTGTGAAACTTTTTCTCCATCGTGCTATCATCATTACGGTTTTCATCTCAAGAATTTGTTATTCTTCTGTTTAATATTCTTTCCATCTCAGGCCTTTTCCCTTATTTTCCATTCATTCATACAGGAAAATCATCCTGCTCCATATCCAGCTCATAGAGGCCGGTCCGAATTCATGAAGCCATTGGGAAATGGCGAGGGTATGCATGATACCCCAAAGAAGAATGCTTTTAGGCCATCCTTACTTGATATGGAAAATGGTCGGCGAGACCACTGGCGTGATGAAGAACGAGATACCCATTCAACTGTGCGCAAAGATCACTGGAGGGATGGTGATAAAGAGCTTGGTGACAACCGCAGGGTGGACCGATGGACGGATAACTAGCCTTCAAAACAATTTGGAGAAGCACACTGTGCACCCATTGAGCGGTGGACTGATTTAGGTAACAGGGACTCAAACTATGATCAAAAGCATGAGAGCAAATGGAACACGCGCTGGGGGCCTGATGATAAAAGCAATGAAAGGTTACGGGATAAGTTTGTCGACTCTGGAAGAGATGGCGATATGCCTCTTGAAAAAGGATTGTCTTATCTTTCTAGTCATGGAAAGGATGTGAAGGAGGGTGATCACTATCGGCCATGGAGATCCACCTCTTCTCAAAGTCGAGGAAGGGGCGAGTCTCCTCATCACCAAACACTAACTCCAAGCAAGCAGGCTCCCACGTTTTCTTTCAGCCGGGGACGTGGAGAAAGTCATCACCCTTCAACACTTTCTGCTGGCCATGGAAGGGGAAGTTCTGGTGGAAACTCAGGGGCTAGTATACCTCCTCATCAAACACTAGGAATCATATCTGACAAGGGTGAAATTGACCATGAGGAGCCATCCCATTTAAGATATAGTAGGAAAAAATTGCTTGACTTATATATGAGGACTGACATAAGGGTTTGCCAAGAACTCGTTGAAGAGCTTGTATCAGTGCCTTCCCTTACACAGGATGAACCATTGGAACCTCTAGCCCTTTGTGCTCCTAATCCTGATGAAATGGTAAATCTTTTTATTTTTGTTTATTATATGTATATGATGGTAACCTTTGGCTTAGAGTCCTGTTGATTTTATTGCTTCTTTGATAGCTTGTTCTAAAGGGAATTGACAAAGGGGACATAACAAGTAGTGGTGCTCCACAAATGTCCAAAGGTGGGCCTGTTGGCCGGAACGCTACAGAGTTTACTCAATCAAGACCAAACAAGATTGGTATTCAACAAATTCAAGATATATTCTGCTGTAAGTTTGTGTACATTTGGAAGCAGTGTCTAACTTCTGCTGGAACATGTGTATACAGGCAGTAGAGAAGATTTACGTAGAGAAGATTTACCAAGTACTGTTGATGATTCTAAAGAGGAGAGGTCTGCTATTCCAAACAGCAGTTATTCACAGCTTGAAAAGCATAAGGGATACCCAGATACTATATTCAAATTCGAAGGTAGGCATAATTACATAAATTGTTTAGCTTGCATTTGGTAACTCCTCTGTCAACCATCTTGCAATTATTTCATTGGAGATGTAAAACATTCTCAATTGAAATTTTTGAACCATATGAGAAATTATTTCAATGGATACTTGTATTAGAAAATTACTGCTACATGGGTTGGAATAAAAAGAACTCAGGTAGCCAACCTGAATCTGTTTGTCCTAGTGCAGTTATGATATGAGGGAGATAATTACTCAGTGCATTACATTTATGTCCAATGGATTGTTTGTTTAGTTTTCGTAATTGGGATTTCGTTATTGTTGAATCCCAGCTTCTCTGTAGTTTGATATTCAATGCGCTGCATTGCATTCTGTAGGTTTGTCACATACTCTCTCTCCTTTCTTTACTTGCCTTTATGTGGCTATGAGAAATGATCTCGATTCATTTATATTATTGCAGCTATGGAGAACAGGGGTCCTTTCAGAAGGGATGAAGAGCTGCCTATAGATAGGGAATCAAGTATACAAGTAACACATTCTGTTAATCCTGGCACAATGTGGCGAACCTCTTCATTTGGAGAACAATCACCTGCTGCTAAACAGGACTGGAAGGAGATCCCAAATGGTGTTGGGTCAAGAACCCCTGGCATGAGCTGGTCAACACTTCGGAATGATATGATTGACCAACGGGAAAGTAATGTGATGAATTCATCCTATTCTAGAGGTGAACCAAATTGGCAATCTAGCGTGGATCCTATCCTTAAGAGGCAACCATCCGGAGTTTTGGACAGGGAACATGAGCCCAGGAAGCTGCCTGCTCCTGAGGACCTTATCCTTCACTACAAAGATCCTCAAGGTGAAATTCAAGGCCCTTTTTCAGGGATTGATATCATGGGTTGGTATGAGGCAGGATATTTTGGGATAGATTTGGAAGTTAGGCTTGCAGGTGCACCAAAGGACTCTCCATTTTCCTTACTTGGTGATGTGATGCCCCACTTACAATCTAAAGCACGGCCACCACCTGGATTTGGTGTGCCAAAACAGGGTGAACTATCAGATTTTTCGAGCAGATCTAATTTCAGTAGCCTTGGGAAATATCATACTGGTGCAAGTGATATTGATAGAATCGGAAATGAGCCGAGGCCAGCAACAGAAGCTGAAAATAAGTTTTTGGAGTCACTAATGTCTGGCGGCTTAAGCAACCCATCCCAAGGTTGGGTTTTACATACAGACACAATCTATTATTTATTTATAACATATATATTGTTTTCTGAACTCTGAAGTTAGAGAGTATTCTAGGGTTCTGATCCATAAAGGTCTGCTGTGCAGTTCAATCAAATTTTCTTATGGTGATTTCGAACTGCCTACCTAATGTCTTTGGTTTCAAAGCCAGATATCATCTCCGAGTCACCTACAGCTCAAGCAAAACTCCTCACGTCATTGACTGACAACACCCTTCCACCACCTCATTCACAAGCTGCTGATTTGATGTCCATCCTCCAAGGATTACCTGACCGGTCTGCTCCTGCAGTAAATGATAGTGTTGGGGGTTGGTCAAATTTCCCTGCACAAGGTGCATTGGATCCTCTTCAAGTTAAGATGGGTTTACATCATGCTCAAAATTTTCCTACCCAAGCGCCCTTCGGGATCCAGCAACAGATGCCACAAACACCGACTCCACCTTCCTTGACTAATTTGCTTGGTCAAACCATGGATAATCCATCTGGCATTTTAAACCTGAAAATCTTATCTCCTCAACTTTATCTCAAGACTCCCAACTGTTAAATGTGTTGCAGCAGCAGCCCAGACACCAGTGCAACGAACACAACAGATGTTGCTTCTTGAAAAGATCATGTTGCTTAAGCAGCAACAGAGACTGGAGGAACAACAAAAGTTGCTACGGCAACAACAATTGCTCTCACAGGTTTTGCAAGAACATCAATCCCAGCAGCATTTTGGTGAACCCTCTTATGGACACCTGAATACAATTCCAACGGGGAATTCATCCATGGATCCCAGTCGACTTCAGCCATCATCACAAGAAATCCTTCAGATTGGTTCGCAGATCCCAGGAACCCAAGATGAACATGCCTTTAACTTAATGAATATGGCACCACAAGTTTCCCGGGATACAAGTTATACTGTTAGTTCTGAATCCCCTTCTGTGCTTGTACCAAATGAGATGCTCAGTAGTATCAGTTTTGAGAAGAGCTTGGGGACTAATACACCAGAACTAGTAAATGGCATCCAGCAGTCTTTGCCAGTGACAACTGTTGAAAAATCACTGTCATTGGAAGCAAACACATCCTCCCAGGAGGCTTCTCTTGTTAAAGAGCCACTCCTTGCTTCCGACTGCCATGCTGTTACTGTAGAGCAGCCACAGAACTATGCTCAGAAAATTGATGAAATTGTACCAGCTGTACCCCTTGTGAATGATGCAAGTTGTGGAAACTTGGAGCACCATGAAACTGCTACTGCTAGAACTTGTAAAACTGATGCACCTAATGAGGATGTTCGGCCTACTGCTGCTATCGAAGAACTGAAAGTTCAAAGAGGAAAAAACAATAACCAGCCTTCTGTGGTGAGAGAAGTTAAGAATGTTGAAGCTCACGAGGTGAGAAAAACTTCAGAAAAGAAGTCCAGAAAGCAAAAGGCTAGTAAAACACAAACCTCTGACCTTGCAAAGGGACTTTCAAAGGCATCCTCTTCGGTGCAAATGAAACCACCTGAAACTGAAGCACCAGTTGTTGTTGAGACTAACAGTACTGGGTATAACATTGATGTGATGTCTTCAGGAAAGGCAGAAGATATCAAGTCCAGTATTTCCCCCATAGATTCTCCCAATCCTAAAAGCTCTTCAGCTGCTAACATTGCTGTGGTCGATGATGAAACCAAAGAGCTAAAGGGTGAGTCCCAACTTTCTGGTTCTTTCCCAGTGCAGAAACCAACTACACGGCCTGCGGAAAGTGCTTGGAAACCTGCTCCTGGCTTCAAGCCAAAGTCATTATTGGAAATCCAATTGGAAGAACAGAGGAAGGCTCAAACGGAGATAGCTGTATCAGAGGTTACTTCTGTGAATTCTTCGAATATTTTAACTTCGTGGGCTGGGGCTGTGTCTAGTTCTGAACCCATTATTTCTAGAGAAAATCAAAGAGATGCAGATTTAGATGAGTCAGCTGTTGTGAAACCTGAAAGTTCTTTAAATTCAACGAGTAAAAAGAGCCCAAAGGGCCCATTACACGACCTGCTGGCAGAAGAAGTGTTGGCAAAATCCAAGGAAAGAGATGCAGATGTTCCTGGCACTATTTGTACGTCTTATGCCAATGTAACCACAACAAATGTTGAACCTATTGATGATGACAATTTCATTGAGGCTGAAAAAACTAAAAGGAGCCGAAAAAAGTCAGCCAAAGCGAAGGGCACGGGAGCAAAAGTTCTGGTTCCTGTTAACACTGCTAATGCGCATCCAAGGAATTCCACCAATTTTTCAAAATTCAAACCTAGTGAGAGAAGCGGGCTTCTCTCTTGGTTCAAGGTGCTTTTTGTTTTTTTCATCCATCATTTCATCTCATCTCAACCATCACCGCCCGCCATCTTTATACATCGCGTTCGCCGTCTACTGTACAACGTCTGCCGTCTAAAGTCCGACTTACGCCATCCGCCGCCACATTCCGTCATCCGTTCGCCGCCATTTTTACCCAGAAAGATCGTTTCCTCACTCTGATTTCATTTTTGAGATTAGATTTACGAGAAAATAATCCATTCGGCGCAGATCTAAACGCCGTCCTTCACCGACTTTCACCTCCGGCCGTCGTAGGTTCACCGTCATATCACCGGAGATAGCTGCTAAAAGCTCTTCAGCTGCTAACATTGCTGTGGTCGATGATGAAACCAAAGAGCTAAAGGGTGAGTCCCAACTTTCTGGTTCTTTCCCAGTGCAGAAACCAACTACACGGCCTGCGGAAAGTGCTTGGAAACCTGCTCCTGGCTTCAAGCCAAAGTCATTATTGGAAATCCAATTGGAAGAACAGAGGAAGGCTCAAACGGAGATAGCTGTATCAGAGGTTACTTCTGTGAATTCTTCGAATATTTTAACTTCGTGGGCTGGGGCTGTGTCTAGTTCTGAACCCATTATTTCTAGAGAAAATCAAAGAGATGCAGATTTAGATGAGTCAGCTGTTGTGAAACCTGAAAGTTCTTTAAATTCAACGAGTAAAAAGAGCCCAAAGGGCCCATTACACGACCTGCTGGCAGAAGAAGTGTTGGCAAAATCCAAGGAAAGAGATGCAGATGTTCCTGGCACTATTTGTACGTCTTATGCCAATGTAACCACAACAAATGTTGAACCTATTGATGATGACAATTTCATTGAGGCTGAAAAAACTAAAAGGAGCCGAAAAAAGTCAGCCAAAGCGAAGGGCACGGGAGCAAAAGTTCTGGTTCCTGTTAACACTGCTAATGCGCATCCAAGGAATTCCACCAATTTTTCAAAATTCAAACCTAGTGAGAGAAGCGGGCTTCTCTCTTGGTTCAAGGTGCTTTTTGTTTTTTTCATCCATCATTTCATCTCATCTCAACCATCACCGCCCGCCATCTTTATACATCGCGTTCGCCGTCTACTGTACAACGTCTGCCGTCTAAAGTCCGACTTACGCCATCCGCCGCCACATTCCGTCATCCGTTCGCCGCCATTTTTACCCAGAAAGATCGTTTCCTCACTCTGATTTCATTTTTGAGATTAGATTTACGAGAAAATAATCCATTCGGCGCAGATCTAAACGCCGTCCTTCACCGACTTTCACCTCCGGCCGTCGTAGGTTCACCGTCATATCACCGGGCTCGTCGTACAATCGTGATCTATTCCCATCTATCCTAGCGTCGCTGCCTTTCTCCGTTTTTCTGCCTTTGACCGGCTAAGATCCGACAGTCGGACTCTCTTCATCATTTCCGTCCTTCTCTTCTTCACCGGCATCACATATTTCACGATCCCGTTTTATTCTGACGGTTTCGTTGAAGTCACAACATATTTTCGCCGGACTAGCGGCCGGGATTTCTTGTCAGGTCACTGGGTTTTCATTATATGGAGGGTGTTGGAATCGATCCTTGTCACCAGCAGAGACCATCGGTCCATGCTCCTCCACCATCCGCAGCATCGTCTTCTCCAATATCTCATCATTCTCATCAAGACAAGGTTCGTACTATCTTCATTTCGGGTCTGCCTGAAGATGTCAAAGAGAGAGAGCTGCAAATTTTGTTGAGATGGCTCCCTGGTTATGAAGTCTCGCAAGTGAGCTATAAGGGTGAAAAGCCTAAGGCTTTTGTTCTTTTCTCTAATGTCAAATTTGCAGTTGCTGCCAAGGTTTCCCTTCAGGAGATGGTTTTCGATATCAAGTTGAAGTCTTTTTTGCATATTGAGATGGCAAAGAAGAATCTGGTTGTTAAAAGAGGAATAGGTAGAGAATATTATCCTGTTCCTCCTGTTTTGCCAGTGTCGAATTCAGCTCCAGTAGCGTTTCCAAGTTTTCATGTGCCTGATAATTCTGGGGGTTGTGTTGAAAAGTCTGCTGCAAATATTGACATCGGATTGTCTTCTTCTCTTGGAGGGAGACAAAAGGCAGGAAAGAATTCTTTAGTTCGAGCATCTCCAGCTCTTCCTATCGTTGATATTGAAGACGGAACCAAGGAGAGCGACATGAAAGGCCTCTCCTTTGAAAAGTTTCCCGAAGTTTCGAGGAGGAGAAGAAATGGGTTCCAAAATTTGTCGATGGATGGTCATCCAAGAATCGGAAATGGGGTCATAAATGGTTGTTTCACGTTTTTTATCGACAACTCTCTGAAAATACAAATGTAGTTTTGCTTAGATATGAAGCTGGTTGATGCACATCGACTTTTTGCATATTAATCTTTTGTCACTTTTATTGTTTTGCCAGATACAAGTTTCTTGGAATTTTGTTTGAAGCAATCTAGATCTGAGGCTGAGACACTTCTCGTGGAGAACCTTCATTGAAAAATTTATCAACTTTAAGGAGATGCTGCCAGCTGATGTGCTTGAGATCGCTTTTCAAAGTCAACTTGATAGAAAGTTCACAGAGACGGGAACCAGAAATGTGAATTCCGGAAATACAAGCATTGCGAATTCCGACCAAGATGTTGGAGTCGGCCCAGATGGGCCTTCGGAGGGGGGAGGGAGGAAGAAAGGGAAGAAAGGAAAGAAAGTGAGCGCGGCTGTTTTGGGGTTCAACGTAGTCGGCAACCGGATTATGATGGGCGAGATTCAGACAGTAGAAGATTGATAAATCATGACTTCTTTTTGGGAGATGACTACAGATTTTTGAGACGTGGAGGTTAGTTGTAAATACATTTGGCTTTACTGTTTGTAGATGTCCAGCTAGATTTTTCTCTCTCTCAATTAACCTTGTAGAGCAAATTTTATTATATATTTGAGGCCTTACAGGTTCATTAGCCATACAAAAAATACAAGTGAAGAAGCAAATGTTATCATCCCTCATCATACAAACAAACAAGCAAATTTTGTGAATAAGATATTTTGAAAAGATAAAAAAGAGTAATGGGACTATAAATGATCAAATAATATCATTTTTTTTATTTATGGATTTAGTCCATCTACTATAATGTGATAGTTTCTAATCTTTCTAATTTTTTAAATATATATTTGAGTTAATTGTTTCTAATCAGTCTTGGAATTTTTTAGATCACTTTTAATCAATAGAATCAATGACACATTAATATAAGATATTGATAGTTTGTGGATTGATATAGAATACTATAAAGTTTATATATTATTTTTAAAATGTATCACAATTTGAAGATCGATGTAGAACAATTTAAAGTTTAGGGACTAATCTAAAATAAAAGTCATAGTTTAAAGACATCTTGTACAATTATCTCAATATACATTTCATTATGTAGAACAATTTAAAGTTTAGGGACCAATCTAAAATAGAAGTCATAGTTTAAAGACATCTTGTACAATTATCTCAATATTCATTTCATTATGAAGCTAACTTTTTTTTATTAATTCCGTTAAATATTTTGATGTAGTTTATTTCTAAAACATATAATGAATGTTGTATATGTCAATTGATCACATGTTTTAGAAAAACAAGGCAAATCCAATTATTTAATAGAATTAATAAAAATATGTCCCTGAACTGAAAAAAAAACACATTTCAAGAGTGAAGAGCTTAAAAATAATCAAATTGATGCATTAATTCGTCAAAAACTCACAGTATAGGGACTTTACGGAGTATTAGTTCAAATCCAGGTACCCGGCTGTAGACACTAATTTTTTGCCCAACAATACTATCCTCGTATTTCTCGATAACAAGAATAACAACCAAGTCAAAATACTAAATCAAGGCATTTGAGTCCAAGTGGGACTCTAAAACTGAATAAAGGAGCGTTTCAGTTTGAATAGGACTCTACAAATCTATCTAAAAATAGCCAATTTCATGGCTATAAATTGAGGCAAAAATAAGGAGGAAAAGGGGGGAACGGAGATCAACCCATAACCAAACTAGAGAGTGAGGGAAACCAACAAGACACGAGAAAGGGGATATTCATCTTTGGACGATCTTCACCGAAAAGAAGAGAGGTCGTCGGAAATAAGGTGCCGAAGCTTCATCTCAAGATCCGCATCGGCCTAGTCGACGTTTGACAGAACAAGTGCCTGATTCAAGCTCATAAGGCTACTGTTGGAAAAGTGATTTTCATAACCTTAAGCTTAAGGTTATATGTATGTTCTGGAACGCATAATTTAGTGGGAGGGGACCCACAAGCTAATAACATTGATTTGTGTATATTGACGTGTTTTCCCTTTAATTATTGTGTTTTCCCTTTAAATATGTTTGTGTAAATTGAAGAGTTTTGGATTTTCTAAGGGTTAATCCTTGTTTAGTCATGCCATCTTTCAACTTCATTTATTTTGGTACTTTTTATTGATTGGTTTATTTATTTTATTTTATTTTTTTATTTTTTACTAACGTTTATTTATCTGTTTTATCTTTTTATTATATTAATATTTTTTTCTTTTTTATATATATATATTTTTTAATCTAACAATATTTTTTACTTTAGGGATACTTTTCAACTAATCAAAGGTAAGCAATTCGAATCGGTTTTTTTTAAATTCTAATTTAAATTTTAATTTTTCGCAATTAAGACAACTGATAAATTAATTGGTACCGAAAGGGCGATTCAAGGGTTATTATCCTTCCTTGACCGTAACCGACTCCCGAACCCGATACGCTTCTGGTACAACGCAGATCAGGAAAGATAGTGTCCGGCCCACCTAAATTCGTTTTAAAGTGGTCGGTGACGACTCCAATCCATTTCCCTAAGTCGAAGCCCAATCCCGGGGCCCAACCGGAAAGACGGTTGCGACAGCTTGGCGACTCCGCTGGGGACCAGGTAAGTGAGTCAGGCCGAAATTAATTTTTGGTTGTTTTTTTTTATGTGAAAATGTTAAATTTTAATTTTAATTTATTTATTCGATTCCAATTATTTATATTTGATTATTTTGTTTCAAATAAATAGTTGTACTGATGTTTTTTAATGATTTCAGATTTTTTTCAAAATTGTCATCTCTAAGCTCTAAACCCGAGCTCCAAACCCGTTTTAAGTGGGGGTGAAAGCGACGCATTCGTGTGAATTTATTCACCGCATATGCCTAGCAAGTAGCCTTCGGGATTCATATACCTTATGTCTTCGTGTGAATTTATTCTCCGCATAGACATAAGGGAATGTATCCTCTCGAGTTTAACTTAGTCCACACAAGCCTGTGATGGGTTTAGGACTAAGGGTCTGGCAAGCCCAAGGGGGCACCAGCAAGGAGAACTCGGGTACCGTGTTTTAGAACCTAAACTGGGAGACTTTGAAGGAGTTAGAGCCTACCCCAAAACCTCATTTCAAACCCTAGGATGCTGGAATTATTTCCTGCTTTACTTTCTGTTCAAAGCATGTGAACTAGAAATTTATGCGGTTAGGACTTGTTCAAAATCAACATGCGGGATAGAGATCATGTCCGGGTAGGAATAATAAGCATGTGGGGTAGGACTTTTCATTTTCATTTTCATTTTTTTTTATTATCCTTGTCTCACTAACTTTTTTTTCTCCTTTCATTTTCTGTTCTTTTGCATTTTTTTTGATCATTCGCATCATTAAAATGAGGTGTTGATCCACCAAAAATGTGTTTGTTAAACGTAAATAGTCTACATTAATGGACAAAAGGGTTATAATACAACGAGATAAAAAGCTCAGAAGTCCAACCGGGATTAAAGAATACTTAGAGGCAAAGGTTGCAGGGGCAAGACGAGGAAATGGTTATTGACCCGGAGAATCCTTTCGAAAATTACGAGAATAAGATGGTGAAACCCTAGCTAAGCTAGAGACCATTATTGATGAATTCCAAAAACAAGTCGACAAACTTCGGATGGAAGGCTCCAAAGACACTTTCGTTTGGAACGAGCTCGGCATAGAGTGAAGGCCGGAGATGCAGTCATTCGAGACCTTTTTTGGGGCAAACAACTCGTCACCCGCACAAGTTTAGCCAAAGGAGCTGGAACGGTTCGACAGGATATTCAACCGGTGAAGAAGCGGAAGACGAATCAACTTGCCAGAGGCTGTGCGGGATCTATACCATCAAAAAGTTTTTGTCTCTTCAGACGTAACATTTTTGTCCCCAATAAGGATTATTCAGAATAATAGGCACATTTTTCGGATCAATGCCTCAGACATTTCATGCTTCATGCATTTAAACATTTTGCATATTGTTCATTTATTTACATTCACATTAACTATCTTCACATGATTCATCAAAGAATGAGAACACTTCGACCCTATGACATATAAGGAGCTTTACCAACAGTTGTTTGACGCACATGTGGTGTCACCATATCCAGAGAAATCCATGAAGCCCCGTACCCCAGGTAGTATGATGAGAACGCTCATTGCAGCGGAGTCCCAGGGCACACTATCGAGAATTACTCCACAATCAAGAGAATCATACAGAAAATACGTAACAAGAATCGGATCGACTTCAACAACTTGGGGACATCCAAGTGAGGAAGACCATTTCATCATTTGAGCCATTCTGTTTGGATTTGTTTTTTCATTCTTTTCTCAAGTTTTTGCAAGGACTTTTAAATAAATTTATGTTGTTTTAATGATGGCGAGCAATAAATCACATTTGCAAACTTGCAATTCTTTGAATATCATTTGAATTAAGAAACTCTGTTAATGGTCCAAAGTTACGGATCTTTGACAAAGTAACATGATTTTTAAAAAAAAAGGACTTTGACCTTATCCAAAATATACCCTCAAACACCATACCCTGCTCTTGTAATTAACCAATATACCCTTTTTCTTTTCATAAGGTGCGGACAACAATTACTATGTTTTTATTTAAGACGTTCAATGACGATGATGATCTTTACAAATGAAAGAGTCGAGTAGGTGAATCCAGTTTAGGTCAGTTGCTTGAAAATTGAACTCTAAAGATGAGATTCCTTGACTTTCAAAAAAACACCTAGGCTATAACAGGTTCTTCTTGACAATCTTAGGAAATTAAATCCGTAAAAACTGAGCTATTCCGCTAAGGCAATTGGTTATAGAGGAAACTTGAAAGCCCTGGCCTTATGAGTAGATTACGTTCAAACCATAACATTGCTCGGACACTTGGCAATTCGGTGTTTGCTCCACTGCTCTTGTCAGGCTGAAGACTCTGTGATGAGATGAACCCTTCAGTTAACTTGATAACTGTGATTATAATATTAAGCTGTCCCTCTAAAGCAATTGGTTAAACGCCCCGGCTTTATGGATTCAGCTAGTCAGATAACAACAAATTAAATCAAATTTATCTAAGCAAGAAATTTTCGGTAAAATGGACTAAGGGAATTAAGGAACACCTGTTATAGTCAACTACACACGAGCACTCAAGAATTTCATTTTTAGACCGATGTTTTTGCACTGCCTTTGTTAGAGGAGCCTACAAAGCTTGAACAAATAGAAGATTTCAGAGGACTGAAATAAAAGGTCTAGTAAGTGATCATGCTAGTTGCGTCACTTTGTCCGCACCCAATTGAAGTGCCAAAGCATGTTGTGATATTTCAAAAAAAAATGACATTTTTTTACCAAAACCTTAGAAAGGAGGCCAAGCTAAAGCCAACCCATCCATTTGAACGCTGGTCAAAGAGCTGTAACTCTGAAAACGTTAAAAGAGTCATTGATTCCTTTGATATTCTTTGAACTCACGTTTATAATTTGATTCAATTGCGAATAATATTTTACAACATTTTTATCGTTTTCTCTCCTGAAACAAGAAAAATGAGAAAAACATTTTCAAACAGAACAATCTCAGATATGAAATGTCTGTAAAGCCCAAGCTCGAGAGGCAAATGGGGCACGATCGATTCCATGGACCAGATTGGCAGACAAAGCACGAAGAGATAACACATAATTCATTCATGTTGCATGCATCTTAGACATAATTAGGTGCATCACATTCCTCATTTTAGCATACATGATTTTTGCAGCTTTTAGAGTCAAGGATACTTGATTCGTAAGCGCCTTTAAAGAACGATGGTGGTTGCTTAGCTCGGCAGCAAGAAGCTACCGATTGAAAATTTTCTCTCGAACTCACAATTTGCTCGAGAGTAAATTTCAACTTCTCAATGAAGGATCTTGAATCCAAGACAACACAAGCTCAACTTCATGACGAAGGGGCGGCTGATTGTCAACAAACACTTCCCAATTTCAGAGCCAATTTCAACTTCACATCGAAGGATATTGGACTCCAGACAACGTATGTTCAACTTCACGACGAAGGGACCGCTGGTTGTCAACAAATTTTCCCTATTTCAGAGCCAATTTCAACTTCACAGCGAAGGATATTGGACTCCAGACAACGCAAGTTCAACTTCACGACGAAGGGACCGCTGCTTGTCAACAATAATTTCAAAATTTCAGAGCCAATTTCAACTTCACAGCGAAGGATATTGGACTCCTGACAACGCAAGTTCAACTTCACGACGAAGGGACCGCTGGTTGTCAATAAAAAAAATCCCAATTTCAGAGCCAATTTCAACTTCACAGCGAAGGATATTGGACTCCAGACAACGCAAGTTCAACTTCACGACGAAGGGACCGCTGGTTGTCAACAAACATTTCTCAATTTCAGAGCCAATTTAAACTTCACAGCGAAGGATATTGGACTCAAGACAACGCAAGTTCAACTTCACGACGAAGGGACCGCTGCTTGTCAACAACAACTTCCCAATCTCAGAGCCAATTTCAACTTCACAGCGAAGGATATTGGACTCCAGACAACGCAAGTTCAACTTCACGGCGAAGGGACCGCTGGTTGTCAATAAACAACTTCCCAATTTCAACTTCGCAACGAAGGATATTGGACTCCAGACAACGCAAGTTCAACTTCACGACGAAGGGACCGCTGGTTGTCAATAAACAATTTTCCAATTCTAAAGTCAATTTCAACTTCACAGCGAATGATAGTGGACTCCAGACAACACAAGTTCAACTTCACGACGAAGGGACCACTGGTTGTCAACAAACAACTTCTCAATTTCAGAGCCAATTTCAACTTCACAACGAAGGATATTGGACTCCAGACAACGCAAGTTCAACTTCACGACGAAGGGACCGCTGGTTGTCAATAAACAACTTCCCAATTTCATAGCCAATTTCAACTTCACATCGAAGGATATTGGACTCCAGACAACGTATGTTCAACTTCACGACGAAGGGACCGCTTGTTGTCAACAAATTTTCCCGATTTCAGAGCCAATTTCAACTTCACAGCGAAGGATATTGGACTCCAGACAACGCAAGTTCAACTTCACGACGAAGGGACCGCTGCTTGTCAACAACAACTCCCCAATCTCAGAGCCAATTTCAACTTCACAACGAAGGATATTGGACTCCAGACAACGCAAGTTCAACTTCACGACGAAGGGACCGCTGCTTGTCAACAAAATTTCATTCAGAATCAATTTCAACTTCACAACGAAGGATGTTGGACTCGAGACAACACAAGTTCAACTTCACAACGAAGGGATGGCTGGTTGTCAACAACCAATTTCCCGGTTCCAGAGCCAATTTCAACTTCACGACGGAGGATATTGGACTTGGAACAATGCTACTTACTTGGATTTCAACTTCACGACGAAGGATATCCAATTCCAGACTCAACTTCACGACGAAGGGGTCACCAACGGTTTCAACTTCACAACGAAGGGAATCGTGCACACAAGCAACATCCATCTTTAGATTGGATTTTAACTTCACGGTGAAGGATATTCAACTCAAAGAATGAGTGTCTGTCAACACACTTTCCAGTTTCAGAGTCAATTGCAACTTCGCAGCGAAGGATATTGGCCTCGAAACAACGCAACTTACATTGGATTTCAACTTCATGACGAAGGATATCCCATTCTCATGCTCAACTTCACGACAAAAGGGCCATATACATATACAACTTCACAACGAAGGGTATCATACCCTAATAGGTTGACCTTACTTCACGACGAATGAGTCATCTGTAACACATCAACACCAAAGTCTTCAGGTCAAGTTCCACCTTCACGACGAAGTATCTTGAGCCAGAAGACGATCCAGGAGTCACTTGCCAAAAGCTTTGAGTTTGATTTCAACTTCACAACGAAGGATATCGTACTCAGAAGTTTCCAGTTCAACTCGACCTCACGACGAGGGAGTCATTTTGTGACTCAATTTAAATTAACAGATCAGTCATTGCATCGGATTTCAACTCTACGGCAGAAGACGTTCGATATGGACAAAATTTGTGTCTTTTTATCTTTGTCCTATTTTTCGTTCCACGAAAAAGGACAAAGAGGGGCAGCTGTAGACACTAATTTTTTGCCCAACAATACTATCCTCGTATTTCTCGGTAATAAGAATAACAACCGAGTCAAAATACTAAATCAAGGCATTTGAGTCCAAGTGGGACTCTAAAACTGAATAAAGGAGCGTTTCAGTTTGAATAGGACTCTACAAATCTATCTAAAAATAGCCAGTTTCATGGCTATAAATTGAGGCAAAAATAAGGAGGAAAAGGGGGGAACAGAGATCAACCCATAACCAAACTAGAGAGTGAGGGAAACCAACAAGACACGAGAAAGGGGATACTCATCTTTGGACGATCTTCACCGAAAAGAAGAGAGGTCGTCGGAAATAAGGTGCCGAAGCTTCATCTCCAGATCCGCATCGGCCTAGTCGACGTTTGACAGAACAAGTGCCTGATTCAAGCTCATAAGGCTACTGTTGAAAAAGTGATTTTCATAACCTTAAGCTTAAGGTTATATGTATGTTCTGGAACGCATAATTTAGTGGGAGGGGACCTACAAGCTAATAACATTGATTTGTGTATATTGACGTGTTTTCCCTTTAATTATTGTGTTTTCCCTTTAAATATGTTTGTGTAAATTGAAGAGTTTTGGATTTTCTAAGGGTTAATCCTTGTTTAGTCATGCCATCTTTCAACTTCATTTATTTTGGTATTTTTTATTGATTGGTTTATTTATTTTATTTTATTTTTTTATTTTTTACTAACGTTTATTTATCTGTTTTATCTTTTTATTATATTAATATTTTTTTATTTTATATATATATATATTTTTTAATCTAACAATATTTTTGACTTTAGGGATACTTTTCAACTAATCAAAGGTAAACAATTCGAATCGATTTTTTTTAAATTCTAATTTAAATTTTAATTTTTCGCAATTAAGACAACTGATAAATTAATTGGTACCGAAAGGGCGATTCAAGGGTGCTAATCCTTCCTTGACTGTAACCGACTCCCGAACCCGATACGCTTCTGGTACAACGCAGATCAGGAAAGATGGTGTCCGGCCCACCTAAATTCGTTTTAAAGTGGTCGGTGGCGACTCCAATCCATTTCCCTAAGTCGAAGCCCAATCCCGGGGCCCAACCGGAAAGACGGTTGCGACACCGGCTCTTTGGATATTTGATTGGCCTGCCCCGTGTCCTGGCTCGGATATTGCGGGTACCCGATAATCGGGTATCCGGATTATTGGTACCAATTTTTTTTATCATTTTCAAATTATTAATTTTAAAAATCATACACATTTAATGTTTGAATTACATACTCGAACATCCAAATATAAAATTTAAAAGTGATTTTTTTTCATTTTTTAATTATATTAGTTTAATTTAATATATATAAAATTATTAATATTTAAATATGTAATATCATTATATATAAAAAATAAATGTAATCGGGTACCTGAAAAATTTAATTTTGTAACATGTGTCAATCCCGAGAAATATCGGGTCGGATACCCGATCTGAAACATTATTTAAAAAAAATAATACTCAAATTCTTTTATCGAATCGACAGATCAAATCATCCGGTTGAATATCTTTCAACACCCCTAAGCATTACCACATATAATGCAAATCATAAATAATAATTTAAAAAAAGGACAGAAGCGGACCGCCTCTTGTACGGTCCAAAAGGCCCAAAACTAACAAATTTAAGCGGTTCAAATTCGGATCAAACCATTTTAAAGAAAGACTTGGCGCCTCAATTCATTTTACCTCCAATTTTCAAAATTTCACAAACTACATTAGAATAGGATCATAGATCTGCACATCTCTGAGATTTTCGGCACCTATCAAAACAAAATCAAATACAGTATTTTCTCTGCCTCCGTTCCGGGAAATTAAGGACCGTCGACATGGACAGCGACAATCATCTAGAGCTAGTTTCGCCTCCAGACGAGACATCTCCTCCTATTCAAGAAAGAAAGCTTAAACGATTGAAGAAGGTGAAAACAGTTTCGGAAAATCCATCCTCATTTGAAGCTCTGGATTTCCGTACACCGGAGCCCCAACTAGTTGAGGAACCGAAATCGCGATCTGTGTCAGAGGGTTCTTTTGACGAGAAAAATGAATCGAGTTCTGGCTTTGATGAGTTAGGCGTTGAGGGAAACGGGTCGGGTTCAGTTGCTAAACGTGCTTTGGATTTTGATACAATGACCGAGGAGGTTGATGGAACCGTCGAAGGTCAGAGTCAAGATAAAGGAATTAGGGATTTCGAACCGGAGGAGTCAGAAAAGAAACGGCCTAGTTTCGAAGAAACGGAGAGTAGAAGAACGAAAAAGAATAAGAGAGTGAAAGGCGTTGGCGATGGGGAGATGCCCATCTTACCCGAAAGAAGAACTGCGAAGGTGCAAATAATATTTCCTTCTTATTTTTAGACAACAAATTCACAATATAACATAAAATTCTGTGTTAAATGATTTTTTTATGATTGTTATTTGTCTGCTTTTCCGTGGTTTATTATTAATAATTTTATAGGAAAGAAGAGAATATCTTGTCCAACTTCGTGCCGAATCTCAGAGACTGCTCCGAGGTACTATGAACAATCATGGTTTATGTACAATTTTGGTATGTGACTTCATAAATGATTTTAATGATAACTATTTAACTCCTGAATTATGTATGAATCTGGGTTAGAAACTACACATGCTGCATTTCAACCTGCACCGATTGTTCAAAAGCCCATATCATCAGTTTTAGAGAAGATTCGGCGGAGGAGGCTTGAGGTTGCAAGAAAGTGAGCATTTAACTTTTGTAGTTTGCGTCTATGTTGTTTAAGGCTTGGTACTTTTGAAGGTCTTATAAACTTTTACATGTTCTACAAATTTATAGATGGTTATGATAAGTTGTTGAATCTTTTCAGGACATATTTTGACATTGATGATCATGATGGGAGTTCCAGCAAGGATATGGCAGGGACTGGATTTGAAGATGTAGCAGAGGATGAAAGAGGCAATGAAAGGGAGTTTATGGAAGTTGAAAGCGAGGAGACAATTGTAAAATATGGGATTTCAGATACCTTGTGCTCTGATGAAATAAAGAATGCTGAGAATGGCTCAAGTCATGGAAATCTTTCACCACAGGTTGTGAGTAATTCATATTGTATCTTAACAGTGAATTTGATATTGCATGTTTGAAAACTTCATAGATTTTATGATTTTAAGGTTTAAAACCTTTGTGTTGGTAGTATTATTTCAATTTCATGTGATTATCAGTCTGAAAAATTCATATCAGATGAGTTTTTGCATCATGTTCAGTTAGAGTTGTATGCGTTCTGATGGTAGCACTTGTTGCATTACAGGCTGCTAATGAGGAATCCAAGCCTTCATTTCGAGCTCCTATAAATGATACTGAGGTTTATTTTCTCGCTCTCACATTCTATTGGTTGAAGTACCACATTTGGAATCTAATTGCTTGATTGTTTGCATATTCTAGGATCTATTTTCAGATTCTCAAACAAGTGACTCCAAAGAAAAACTTGCAGATGAGACCCCTAGTAGCCCTTTAGAAGTTCTGGCACCATCCGTACTGGCTATGAACTTGAAGCTTGACACTGCTCTTGATGACATGTGAGCCTTGTAACTTTTATATTACTTTTTTGTTTTGAGAATAATGTCATTTACTTTGAGTGTGCTTATAAGCTTCCGTTCAGTAAGAACTTAATTTATCAGGATTTAGGAACATGCCTAGGTTTTTTTTTTAATGTTTGTTTTAGGTTCATCATGAGAGCTAGCTTGGAATTTTAACGGATGTGTGATACGTGAAGGCAACTTATTTTGATTTTATCTTGTAAAAATTAAATCAACCACTGCCCTTCATAAATTCTGGTTGATCTAATATGCATGTTTATCACCTTTCTTGTAGTTCCTCTGACAATGAGAACAATGACAAGGAGAACATTGATCCACAACCACATGAGTCTGTTGAGTTGTCTCCAACAACTAATGGTGACCCTGTTAAAGCATTTGTTGATGAAGAGGCTGAAGAAGAAGATGACAGTGACCATGACTTAGGTCGCTTCCAAGATGATAACAATGAGGATGATGAAGATGCGGAAGATATAGAAGAACTTAGGGATATGATAGCAACTGGATATGAAGAAAAGCAAAGTGATGTTGATAGGCGAATGGAACTCCATCAAAAGCTGCTTGACCAACAGGATGCTGCTAAAACAGCGCAACTATTACGAAAATGGGGTCCAAAGCACAGAGAAGCAGCGTTGCTTGATGATGAAGGATTTGAGGAAGATGAAGAGGAAGAGGAAGAGGATGGAGAGGAGTTTTCTGAAAATGAAGAAGATTCACGTCCAGTAAACATGCGCATGCATATAAAAAAGATAAAGGAAATGCTACCACAAATGTTCACTGATAAGGATGACATGTACATATCATCGGATGAAGAAGAAACAGAAAAAAAGCTTGTTGAACAATCCCTGTCTGACAAAGCTGTGAGTTAATAGCAACTTTAGATTTCAACATGCATAACCTTTTTCTGGTCCATAAACATTCATCTTTTGTTCCTTTATTGCTTTGATCATGAGATAGAAACTGAATTAAGTAAAACATAACAGAATCAGCAGGCTGGGCTTCTGCCTCCATCAAAGGATGCAAGATCGAAAAAACTCTTTGGTTATATAAAGGTCAACAATATGCCTGAAACCAGAAAAAAAGCCAAAACATCATGTAAGATTCTTATCTACAATTTTTTTTCTCAATAAAAAATTGGCTTTCCCCCGCCCAGGATTTTTGCTGTAAGTAACATTTCCTAATGACCATTACATTGATCTTGATTTTGGCAGCCTTTTCTAATATGCTGTTCATGGGGAAAAAAGGGAATGAGTCCTCAAAGGTAAGATATTTCCCCATCTTATGGGAAAGCTTTGAATAAAGTGGCATTGCATACCAATTCTAAAGGCAAATAAGTACTACTTTCTCTTTGGCAAACATTGCAGTCATCTTTCATTGGTCGGGGGTCAAATTGTTCTATACCATCATCTACCAAGCAAGGATCGGGCATCTTACGTTCATTTGTATTCGAACGTGAAGACAATAATAGCAAAAGCACAACCACAATGGCTGAAAGTTCTGAAGTGGTAGGCTTGCTTAATTTCACAGCAATTTTGCTAGCTTCTGTCATCTTATAGTTAGCCTTTGAACATCTTTATCAAGTTTGGAATTGGAATTTGGGTTCATCTGTTGCTTTGCTGCCATTTTATTTCCTGACATTAAACTGCTAAAACTGTGTTGTTTAATTACAGAATCGAACGGAGAATCGACCAAAGAAAAATGGTGCATCAGCCAAGTTCAGCAATTCACAGATCAGATCAAGTGCTCAACGAAGAAAAGAAGAGATGGAAACAAGTTCAGGAGTTCAATTATTGGAAATATTGACGAAGTCCTCTTCTCTGCAAACAAGTGAGTGCAGTGGTAGTAAGAGAAGTATTGTTGGCCATACCGAATCCATATTTGCTGCATTCAAGCTGGAAAAGAAATCAGTAGGAACTAAGAGGCCGAATGTATCTGTAAAGCCTCTCTAGATTATTTAGCACTCAACGATTTTATATCAAATGCAAAGTCCAATTCCAACCCATTTCTCTGTTAAGTAAACGTATTTTACTTTCTCTAAAGTCTTAATATTTTGGATAAAGTATACATATGGTCCCCCAATTATAGGATAGTATTTTATTAAGTCCTTTGACTATTAAAAGTTACAAGATGGTCATCCGATTATAGAGTATTGCTTCGTTGATTCCCTTATCTATTAAAAGTTACAAAATGGTTATTTGATTATTCATTATGTTCTAAACTTATAATTTTTTTGTTAAAAAGTGTCAATTGTTTGAGTTAGACGTTAACATGATGATTGGGATATGGTAGTCGTTTGAGATTGTAGGATCAGATTTTATTATATCAATGTCAACAAGTTAACATATTATATCAATGTCAACAAGCTCAAAAGGTCATCAATTTTTTAACGAAAAAGGTTGAGTTTGGAACATATTAATAGTCGAATGATCATTTTGTAATTTTTAATAGTTGAAGGACTCAATAAAGCAACACTTTATATTTAAAGGATTATTTTGTAACTTTTAATAGTCAATGGACTTAATAAAGCAATATCCTGTAGTCAGGGGACCACTTGTGTAACACCCTAATTCAGTACGACACACAGTCGACCGATCAGAATGCCACACGGAACCATCAGAATGGCTAACCAGATTTTTCTTTTAATTTTTTTTTTCGTTTTTAAAAATTATCATTTGTAATCACTCATGCAAAAATAAATAAACTATAATTTAAATAAAATAGTTTACATTAGGAGCTCCCAAAATAATATTTAAATCATATAGACCATATTTTAAAATGAGTTATGACTCATACAAAAATATACAAATTGGGTTTACAATTATTCATGCCCTCTAAAGATAAACTCGAGACATATTTTGCATTATCTAGGTCTGGATCACGGTTGTCAAAAAGTCCTCGGACTACTCCTTGACTAGCCTGTGTAAGGAAACAAATTCCAAACACTGAGCTAACTAGCCCAGTGCCACACTAACAACAAAGACATACTAAAAGTGTTCATGACATGCTCAAGCTAACTAATAAACTGAAATAGTGAGTATACTCGTATACTGTATTCTTTATTTTATGGTAAACATCATGGTGCGGCTGAGGGTTCTGCGGCTGAGGGTTCTACATCTTGGGGCTCACACACCTCTCTAGTCTACCGTGGTTGGTTGCCCGGAATCTCTGTATCGGTCAACCCCCTTGACTAGCCCACTCCTTGAGTGTTGGACCTTCGCCCAAGCTAGTTAGCTTTAAATGTCTCGCGCACTATCTAAGGATATATCCAGACTAAATTATATATTTTCGATATTTTCTAAAGGAAAAGGAACTCGGGTGTCTTGATCGTTTCTTGAGCATCATTTAAGGCTATTTTTATGTAATCCTAATTAAATCTTGTTTCTAAGTGTAATTAATATCATTAATATTCTCACTTGTAGTCTTATTTGATGATATAAAGAAGTGTTAGGGTACCTCGAGTCTAATTCCCTTAAAACTGATATTTTTGCCCAAAACAGTCTGAAAGTATCGATACTAGCCCAAGAATATCAATACTCCTGCAAAAGTTTCGATACTTTATATAAGTATCGATACTTTTAAACATTTTGTTCTGCCTAGTTTTGAAACTTCATAGGAGTTTCGAAACTATGACCCAAAGTTTCACTACTCTTGAAAGAGTATCGATACTCTTGCCCAGAAACTCACGAATTTGCCCAAAACGAAGAACACGTATCGATACTATCACAATAGTATCGATACTCTACCTGCAGAAGTCATAAAACACATACTAAAATGCTATATTTCAATCCCCAAAGACCTTAGTGAGGTCCCCAAACATGCTTAAAGTTTTATTTGATCAACAAAGGTCATAATAGAGGCTTTAAACACATTTATAACTCTAAAACAAGAATTTCACCATGAAAATGCTTATCATGCTCAACTCAACCATTTAAACTATTTTGAAATTCTAATGACTCACTAAGAGTATAAAAGAGTTGTAAAGGTGTTACCTTGCTTATTTGGTGGCTAGAACTCTCATCAACTTAACCAATGCTCAACTTTTCTTTGCCTTTTGATTTGGAACTCTCTCTCACTTCCTTCACTAAACAAGGTAAGAAAAAGGATTACCAATCCATCTAGAGGTTGGATACATTCTATATAACTCCTTAATATCCAAAACATAGCTAAAATCCATAGATTCTCACAAACCTATCAAAACCTATATTTTTTCTATGGATAAAAACTAGTGAAAAGGAGCTTAAAATGAAGCTTGAAGGGTGAGAGCTAATAATCTTACCTTTTCTTGACCCAAACTAAACTTGAAGCCTTAAATCCTTCAACTTGAAGATGGGTGAAGAAAAGAGAAAAGATGAAAGAAGAAGATGAGTGTTTGGTGGGAGATTGGGAGTTGTTCACGTATATCTCATAAAAAATGGGAGTTTTCAACTTTTGAATTAAGAATTAAGTAAATCGCACTTTTAGTCCCTCTAATTTCTAATTCATAAGACATTCAACTCTTACCAACTAACTCTTAGGCCCAATTCAAGCCTAATAACACTAAACTTGGTCCAACTATTTTATAAGGTCCAATTGGGCTCAACTTTAGGCTTCGGGTTGACCCAAACTACTAACCCGAGATTCGAGGCGTTACAACTTTCCCCTACTAGAAATTTTGTTCTCTTTGGCACAATATTGATACCCACATATATTTTTGTGCAATTTTGGTTAATATGTTTGGGGTGTTCGGGCTAAGGTGTTCTAAGTTTGTATAAGCCTTAAATATTTAATACAAATGAAAATAATTAAGACTTTTAATTTCTCACCTAGAAATCAAGGAAGATATTAAGATAGAAGATTTGCCTTGTGTGACACTCGGGAAACGGTTAGGACACCCGAGTTACTCTAGCATTATGACGATTGTCCATTTGTTTGTAAATAATTCGGATAATGTATAATGGTACGCATCTGATGCACGTAATTTTCGTGTTGTATCAATACGAATTTTGATGCACTTAAATTTCAGAATCATACTTCATGTTCAATTAGGTTCGAGGTGTGAGCTTCTGATGCACGTAAATTTTGGTCCTCACCCCGACCTCTCGAGAGTCCAAGGTAGACTAAGGGCCATAAGTTCCGATGCACGAAAATTTCGATTCTTACCCCGAAGCTATCACTTTCAAGGTAGGCTAGTGTGTTGTCTGAGATGAACGTAAATTCCTCCAACCTCACCACTTGCCTATCTCATGTTTGTGATGCACTTTTGCATGTTTATGACTATGCATGTCGACATGTTCATGTGACAAATAATGTAGTATTGCATAGTTTTTCTTGTGGCACTGAGCTTGTGAGCTTAGCGTATAAAATGTGTTTTTGTGCGCAGGTTAGTAGAGAGGGTAGTCGAGGAACCTATCGAATCCGTACATTCCAGATCAACCATTACAGAGTATGTCTTGAGTCTATTTTAGAGGGCATGTATTTTATGTGAACCTTTTACTTGTTCGAGTCATAACTCTGTTTTGATTTTAAAATTATGGGTTGTATTTTGTACGTATTTAGGATACTCCCATATTTTGTAAACTTTAATTCGATTCCTCGTTATGACTTGATGAATGATTTTGATAAGCATGATTGTTTTGAAATGAAATTTTCAGGTTGACTATTTTGGTAGTTCTATGTGGCATCGTAATCCACAGATCTTCGGGTCGGACTTGATTAGGATGTTACATTCTCGGGTTGCCATTCTTTGAGATTTTAACGAACTTTTGATTTTTTATAAAGTTTTTGGATTTAGGGTTTGACGAGTTCCAAGTGACCGTTGCCCATCTTCCCGTTGACCAACGACTAGTTTTTTTGAATTCGAAGAGGTGACGAGTTCCATCTGATTTTTTTGAAATTTATAATTTATTTTTATTTTGTAATTTTAAAAACAATAATTTTTAAATAAACTTTTTACTCCGGTGTGACGAGTCATATTAATGGCCCACGTGAGGTCCACTGCTGGGGGATTATTTAAAAATAATATCTGAGAGAACTCGTCATTTCGACGTGATGAGTCTTTAGTGTAATATAGGAATGTCATATTTTCCAAAATAAAAGCTGGAGAGATCCAATATCTTAAATAATTGACCCGCTTGAGGTATTGGGCTAAAAACATTTTTTCCTCTTCTATTATTTTCTGATCAATTGTGTTGTGTCATCAATTTAATTCTGTCGGCTGCTTAATATAATGAAGTTTGATAATTCGAGAAATTTAGACTCTGTTTTTTGTGAGTTCAAAATAGATTCAAAGGATCCTATTAACTTATTAGTTCATAACACATGTTTTTATGTCCATCTATCAGTTCTTAAACTGTGTCAGATATGTAGGTGTAGGGGTATAAACGAGTCGAGTCGAGTTTGAGTATTGCTAAGTTCGACTCGATTCGAAAACTTTGAAATGGAGCTTGACTCAACTCGAAAACGCGCGAGCTTAAAATTTTCAAGCTTGATTCGAACTCGAAACCCTGAACTACAGCTCGTGAACAGCTCAAAAATGCTGGAAATGAAAAAAAAATCTTAAACTTAACTCGATTAAAGCCTCAAACTCAAACTTAAACCTTAAATATATGAAAATCTTACTGATTTTTTTTAAAAATCAACACATAAATGTTAATATTATTAATATTTTTTTAAAAAAATATAATCTTATTATATTAAATTATATTATATTTTCAAGCTGCTCACGAGCTTTTCGAGTCGAGTATCAAATAGCTTGTTTCGGCTCATTAATAACTTGAGTCGAGTCTTCGATCCGAATATTTATCGAGTCTTGACCAAGTTGATCTCGAACTATCTGTCTCATTTACGGTCATTCTTAGGTGATTGTGTTGATGTGGTCTGTCTTCTACAACAGCTCACGATATATAACCAAGTACTTCAATAGGTAAAATTTATGTCTAAGGTTTTTTTTATATTAAATACAAATTAGTTTAATGGTGTCTAAAATCTTCGAACTTTTGAAAAAAAATTAAACACTTAAATTTTTTTCATCCAATTAAATCTTTATATTTTAAAT